GTCTGCGGGGACGGAGGAGGAGGAGCTGACCTCATAAACAGAACTTGAAAGTTGGTAGTCACTGCATTGGATCTCCAGCTTGTGACTTGATCGAAAAAGATTCGAGTTCGGGAAATCGGACTGGACTGAGAGATGAGAGAGAGCGAGAGAGTGAGAGAGTGAGAGAGAGCGAGAGAATGACAGAGATAGAGGGAGAGAGCAACATATTCCCCTGAACCTTGGAGATTTTTAGCAACTACAACGATTTTTAGTAGTTTAAACCGTTCGTTTTCCACTCAAGGGCACAGTAGGCAGTTTAAACGGAAACGCTTTTCCCTTTTTTTACTACTTAAAGGGAACAGGAAGCCCCAGTAGATCAGAGGTCATCGATAATTGGCAACGAGCGAACCGGAAATGCAAATGAAAAAATGGGCAGAGAGTGTGGCGAGGCAGGAGGGAGCAGACAAGATCCTACTATAAAAAAAAAATGGGGGGGGGGGGGTTGAAAAAAAATTAATAAATAATTTATTTTTTTTTTTTTAAAAAAGAGAAAAAAAAAAAAAAAAAAAAAATTTATTTTTTTTTAAAAAATAAAAAAAAAAAAAAAAAAAAAATTTATATTTTAAAAATTTATTTTTTTAAAAAAAAAAAAAAAAAAAAAAAAAAAATTTAAAAAAAAAAAAAATTTTTAAAAAAAAAAATTAATTTTTAAATTAAATTAAAAAATAAAAAATATATAAAACCCCCCCCCCCCCCCCCCCCTGTGCAAAATAAATAAAAATTTTAAAAATAATTTTACCCCTCCCCCCCCCCCCCCCCCCCCCCCCCCCCCCCACCAAAAACCTAAAAAAAAATTAAAAAATTTATTTTTTTTTTTTTTATTAATAAAAAAAAATATAAAAAAAAAAATTTATTTTTTTTTATTTTTTTTTTTTTTTTTTTAAAAATACCAAAAAAGAAAAAGAAAGAGGGGGGCCCATCCCCAAAAAAAAAAAAAAATCAGCAAATAGAAACCCCACCCCCCCAAAACCCCCCAAAAAAAACCCCCCCAAAAAAAAAAAAAAAAAAAAAAAAAATATAAAAAGAAAATAGTGTCTGTGCGTGTGTGTGTCTGTGTGTGTGTGCCACTTTGCATCCACTTCCGTCTGTCTGTCCGGAGGATATCTCGATAGGGGATGAATTTTAAAGTATGTTTGATACGTCATTAGGTGCGTAATGGCCTGGAGATGACTGCACGCATTTTAGATTCAACAAAATTACCTATTTTCGACATTAAATTTAAGTTTTTGTGAAAAGTTCTTTGTTAGAACAAATTAGCATAGACCGGAAGTTGGGATTCGACTATATAACGGGATAGGAGAGGTTGTTTTTCATTTTTTTTGTCGTCCGAAAGCAGGCCAATTATGCAAAGTGAAGGATAAAATGGAAGTCAGACGGGGCCAGGGTTGAAAAGTCGCGAAGCGGCTTTTCAACTCTGGTTGATGCTAATTTTGCCTGCCCAAAATTTGGAAAAATCAAAAGCCTAAAAAGTTGCCCCGGTTGAAACACGGCGGATCACCAGGCGCTAAAATGATGAATTCGCGGGGCAGACACAGCAGTCCTCCGGGACCCGCTCGACCCGGGTTCTGTAACGACGGTTGGGGGTTTAGCGGGGGGAGGATTGTCATCAATCCTCGGGCGCAAAGCGAGGATGTTTTGAGGGCGGGGGATCCGGGCAGTGCGAAGGGAGGAAGGGATCACATATGGGACCCGCGGGTGGAGGCGGAGATTCCCCAGGGGCCCAGCCCCAAAGACAAACGTCCCGCCACCCCTCTGCGGCGCCAAGTGGCCACGCCTCGGCTGCGCGATATAAGTTTCAGCAGGGAGAAATGGTTTGAGCTTGGTGGGGGCTCGGGAACGGGTGAAAATTGGGCTATCGTTATTTTGCATCGTGCTCAAAGCCATATACTTTCCGTACCGTACGCCTGCGTGATCAAAACGGACAAACCAGGAAAGGCAAAGACACATGAGGGTTACCAGACGACGCGAAGGCTATGTCTCCTAATCATCAAAATAAGGCCTCACATAATTACGCAGAGGGAATGAAAGCGCCTCCCGGTGTAGGCTTTACCGGTGGATTATCCTGGCTAGCGGATTAGGGGGAGGACCTGTTGATCCATCAGCTGAGTAAAAATTTGGTCTGATGAGACCGCTGCTAGGCCAAACGGCCTTATTATCATGATCAACATGAAAGGCAAGGAAAGGGATGGTTTCAAAAAATTTGTAACATAGCAAGGAATCCGAATCTCTGGAAAAGTTAACGACGTCCGCTGTATAGGACTGCGAGAATAAATTGCAATAGGTAGCGTGGTTGGCAGGGCTGGAGGTCATCAGTCGGATCTGTGAGGAGGAGGAGGAGTAGGAGGAGGAGCGCGAGAGGGCGATGGAGGTGGAGGCAGGGCCGACCGTTCTTGACCTTGGCTGCCCCTTTTCCCTCCGCACCTCACAACACCACATGCCCTCCGCCACCACAAAACGGTCCCTGAGAATGGAGGGGAAACTTTTCTCGGGGGGTGATTATTGTGTGGTGGTGGGTGTAAAGTAGTGATTGGGTTATTCAAAACAAATCCGGGCTCAAACTTGTGGATTTGGTTAAGCTTCCGGAACTTATTCGAATCTCCGGATTTTTGCATGCAAAGAGTTGAGTTGAATCCGAAAAACTGAAGTTTAAATGAAACTTCGACAAACTCAGTTTCGTACAGGATGAATTTCGACAAGATGAAAATAACCCTATGGCAAAACCCTGAGCATCCCCTGCTCTTCGAAACCAAATAGACCAGAAATTCCGGGCATGACTTTCCGGCACCTCGAGGTGCACGGCGGGCGAGAGGACCGGAGGTGGGGGTGGGAATGATCGTTTGAGGGGTCTTTGTGTAGAGTAGTAGTGGAGAGGAAATCGAAGGCGAAAGGAGAGGAGGTTGAGGGCTCAAATCCTTCCCCACGATCCACCGCACACCGACAAACAGACCTTCGCCGCACACCGATCACAAATAGGGCCATGTGGCCTTCTAGCCGCCAGGTCTGGGCACCCGGGAATTGACACCCGGGGGGTGGTATGGGGAGATGAAATGTGCCAACGAGACGGGGTTGATTTTTGGAAATGGTACAGCCATACAGCCATAATCCCGAAAGCCAAAATCCCGACATTCAAAATGCCGACAACCAAAATGCCGACAGCCAGAAACTCCAGATTTTAAAACGATTGATGGGTAAAACTACCCGGAAACATCCCATCGGAATTTTAGTTGTCGGGGTTCTGGCTGTCGGGATTCCGGCTGTCGAGGTTTTGAATGTCGGGATTTTGGCGTTTTTCCCGAAGAACAAGGGCCTCCTGAGGGCCATTACTCTAAATAACGAAGGGGCCGAATTCGATCTAGAGCCGCGCAGGCTACGAATCAGATTAGTCAGCGGACACCGTATCCGGCAATTACTGGGATTGCGAGATTGCCTGGCCCTCCACTATGCAAGCAATGCCTATGGAGCATGAAGTTCGTAGTGCTCCCATTTGCATCAAAAAACTTGCCATCTCAGTCGTGGGCCACCCGTCTGGTGATGATGAGCGGGGGAGGGTTCGTGTAACCGATATGACCGATCGAGATTTGCGGGATGTTTGAGAGGTCAAGGGCCCAGATGATGGGAGCGTTTTGGGTTACCGCGGCTCTACCCTTCTAGTGTCGGGCTCCTTTTGAGCGGCCACACCTCGAGGGATCGAGGTCTATTGAAAAGCTAGTGTCGAGAAAGATATTTCGAGGGAGAACTAGTCAGTTACAGAAGCCTCTAAACGGGATAGTGCAGGCGTAGATGCAGCTCTCACATGGATTTCTGGAATTTTGCCAGGTTTGGCGCAGGATTTAAAAAATCCCGTTAAAATTGATAAGATAGGATTGAAATGGAATAACAAAAATGGTTTGAGTGAAAACGGCTGATAAACCCTGATGGGTTTTTACATCGAAATCGATAACTAGGAGCTAGGATCCCGTCAGGACGAGAAAGCTGCGCCGCCTTTGCCTGGACGCCTGCGCAATATCGGCTTGTCAGCCACAGGTCGCCTCCGGGTCTCCCCCTGGGGGCATCGAGGGTAATTATTGAGGGGGCTGGGTGTTGAATACACAACGAGGCCCAGTCGTCTTCTGGCATGGCGGGTGCTTCTCCTCGGCTCTCCGTTGCTATCTATCCTCCCTCTCTCATCCCGCCCCTCTAATCGACACCCAAATTAGCACTGGGCCGCTCGGTGGTCCTTCGAGGCGAATTCAAGGTCGACCTATTCGACTGCGCTTGACGGGGGAGCCACAGGGTGCGGCAAAAGCGCCTGGACCTAATGTTTCGGCTATAAAACGACGTAGAATGGCCGAGAGACCGTCAAAGTTGGTGATTTTGTAGACAACCTGATGGGGGAATTAGAATTCGTAAGAACTTTTCCGCTAGTTCACGGAATCTCTGAAAACGGTTTCAAGGCCGCGCGGCAAGGCCCAGGAACTATTGCCGCACCCTGTATTGGCTGGGCTTGGAAGCGAAGGAGACTCTCTTGGTCGCACCATACCCTAATCACTAATCGATATTTATCTGTAAACGGCGAGAGTACATCCATACATCAATACTCGTTTTGGCACGGACAAACAGTTTTCATGGAAAACTGGGCGATAGGCTATTGCAAGAGGTACGTGGGGGACTGCTAATTTTTGATATGCGTTGCCTGAGGAAAGTTGGCGACAAAGCGGTTCATTAAAAGCTCAAAGTACCGTTTAGGTTACATGTAGTTGCCCTTTGTCGCCAACAATTCCCCTCCAACCGGTTTTTGTAAAGGAAATGGCGGACAAGGCAAAAGATTCGTATCACAATTCGGGCATCACGGGGTGTGCACAATATCGACAATTTGGGGAGTGGGGGAATTGAGCAGAACATCCGAATATGGGGGGTAGATGGCTTTTGAGGGAGGAGCACCAAGTGAAGAAGTTACATAAATGAAATAAAAAACAAATTTAGACATCGGCGACGTCTTCGTCGCCCAGATCGATCTTCTCCATCGCCAGCGGGTTGTCGAACGAGAGCCCTCGGTTCTGTAAATTGAGCTTGAGCCGAAAATGAGGAGAGTATCAAAGCTCAATCATAAGAACACTATGACACCCGGCATACCGCGTCTTTCTTTGGCCGTGGGGGCAAGGCTGGTGGCTCAGCAGGGCTCTTTGACGATTCTTTTGCTTGAGTTGGAATCGAAACACCAAGGTCAGCGCCGGTAGCTAAAAATTGGTTGAGATTTGACGACTCTTTCTTACCGATCATGTCGTTGCCTGGTCGCGGAAGCTCACTGCTTGTGCTGACCCCATCGTACTCCTGAGGTCGGCTACGCATCTCCGACATTCTAAAAAAAGCATATTTTGAAGACCATCGAACTAGATGCCTCAAGGTGGATGAGGTAGACGGGGTGTCATCATTTTCTGCAATGTCATAGACAGGGTTTGCGAAATTGGTGGAGTCGACCCCAGATGACGTGCTGTAGGTCTGCATGTCGTACTCGACCGCATCGGGTTCCTAAATTTCGATCACTCGAGCCTCGGGAGAGACGCACGTTTTTGTCTAGCACCGGGTTGCTGAACGAGATGACGTTGCCGTGGAAGGCCACTGCTCCGTCGGCCGCATCGTTTTTCTTTTGCAGCAGCGAGCGCTAAATTTGTATTGATTGATTTTGATTTCGTCTGACTTTGCCATTTTTTTGTTCTTACCTTCTTCCACAGCATCACCGCAAAGAAGCCGACCAGTCCGAGAGCGGCCAAGACGGCCAATAGCAGCAACAGTGAAAGTAGGACGTTTTCCCAGATTCGTCCGATGATCTGATCAGGATGATCAGCTTCGTTAGTAGTTGAATACATACCTGCTTGCTGATGGTGGAGGCCGTCTGGCAGAACTCGCCCTCGAATTCATTGGGACACTGGCAGGTGCCATCGAGTTGGCATCTAAAAAAATTGGATAGATCAAACAAACTGGATCGACAGAGATCTATGGGGGGTTTCTAACCTTCCGTGGTTCACGCAATTGCATTGCTTTGGCATCGGTAGCGCTGAAACAGTGGTGGCGCGACAAGAGCCGTCCTGAAAACACGCAGGTGATGCTGGCTGTTCACCACCTTAGCCTTACCGTCTGTGCAGGGATGCCGTCCGGGCATAGGCAATTGATGGCTTTGTTGGGGAGCGCGACACAGATGTGAGAGCATTTGCTAGAATCACATCCGGAGCTCAGGCGTTGGGTGTCCCTGAAAGCGAGAGAGCGTGGTGAAAAACGGCGTGGCCTTACTTTGCGTATCGCTGCTGGATCTTTAGCGAATGTGGGTCCTCCAGATTGGATGCCAGGACAGAGACGCGTGAACGCCCAAACTTGTCCTAAATGGGCGTCTAATCTCCGTAAGCAAGGGCAAGAAACCTGAACGTAGAGGCTCTTCGTCTCACGGGATATCCAGTAGAGGTGGTTTTCAAAGATGTCGACGGCATAGGGAACAGCCTTATCTTGGACGACCACCTGACGATCTGTTCCATCTGGCAAAATCGACCAGACGCGCCTGGAATTGGATTTTTGCGCAAGTCGTTCTAGCAAATGCTACCTGAACTTGGGATCCGCCCAGAAAATGCGATTTCCCTTAGCCTCATCCACGGTGATGGACGTTGGTGAATTAATAAGGTCCTAATTTAGTCCTCTTGTTTCGAACTTCTTCAAATGTATACCTTGACTAGTATGCTACGATGCATGCCATCCATGTCGGCGCATTCGATCTTTGCTCGCTGCCCGCCATCCCCATAGCAGATCCGGCCGAGCTCAGGGAGCGTAACGATGGACATTGGAGACTCGAGATGGCTCGAGATCAACTTTCTCATGTATCTGTAGCAAAAGACGTTCCAAGCATGCACCTCTGATTACCGTCCGTCTCCAAGTGCCACCCAGACGGCACCTCCCTGTCCGGCACCCATCGGCTCACTCATGCGTTTCACGCGCCGCGCCTCTTCGTTTTGGGTGGTGGTGATGAAAAGGTTGCTAAAGTTTAGACAATTCGAAATGTTCTTAGGTATCTGCCCTTACCCAGTCAAGTAATCGACGGCAAGCGCTGTCGGGTTGACTCCGAGCGACTCGAAATCGATGTCCAACTGTTGCCCGTCGTGAGATTGGTTGCCCTTGGCGATAGCCGAGCGGTAGACAGCCTTAAAGAAACATTGCAAGCTCGGCATCGCCTTCACCTTCTTGTCCTCATCAATCCAGTACATCAGTTCACGTCTAGGGTCAAAGTCCAGGGAGATGATGTCATTGTCTTCATTCTCGGCCTAAAAGCGACGGTTGGCAAACACTTTCATGCTCACCTCAGCAGCTGCATGCATGTTCACACCGTTGCCGTGGTGGAGACCGACTTGAACCAGGTTGCCGTCCGCAGCAATCATCACCTGGAAGTCAATAGGTAAGAGGTCTCCCAAGAAAATTGGCCCCGTTTAGAACGATTGCGACGAATATAAAGTATTGCTTACCTCAGCCGGATCACCCTTGGCTCGGCAATCCTTGCCGGTCATTGCTCCGACGACGACATTATTTTCATAGTCATCTGTACACTTGCAAAGGTACGAGCCCTTGGTGTTGAGGCACATCTGAGTACAGGTATTGTTGCCCTTGCATTCGTCGATATCCACGCAATCGAAAGGATTCGAGGGGTCGGGTTGGAATCCATCGCGGCAGTGGCAGTAGAACCTAAATTACCCGATCAAATGTGCAACACAATGGCAGAATAGCGTTGTAAATCCCTCTCGAGCTGTGAACTTACCCATCGGTGACGTCGGTACAGAGATGTTTGCATCCCCCGTTGTCTCCTTGGCTCTCGCAAGTCTTCCCGGCATGCTTGTTGCATCCAATTTCATCTGATTGGTCGCCGCAGTCATCGTTCCTAAGCCCGTCCTATAAGATAGTTCTATAAGACAGACCTGTCACAGGCGAGCGTTTGGTTGATGCAATGGCCATTGGCACACTTGAACTGCTCGCCGCCACATTCGCCATATTCCGAGAAAGAGGCACACATCGACAGATGTTCGTCAGACGAGTCAATGGGGCCGCAGTCCGAATAGCCGTCGCACAGTTGCAGAATGTTGAGGCACAGCTTCGAGTGCGCGCAGCGGAACCGCAGTGGTGGTTTGCAGTTGCCAGAGCGGCACTCGGAAGACGTCTGCAAGGAATTATTCCGATGAAATTGATAAGACTTGCCTCGTCCGAATTATCTCCGCAGTCGTTGTCTCCGTCGCAAGTGAACTTGCGCGGGATGCACACCGAGTTGGCGCATTCAAACTCGAAGGGCGAACACTCGCGGCGAGAGACCGTCGTGCAGTTTGTCTCGTCCGAGGCATCCAAGCAGTCCTTCTTCCGGTCGCACCATTTGTGTTCGGGGATGCAGGTATCTGCAATTTGGGTATTTTCGGTTCCGGCATTTTCTTCCGTTTTAAGTTTGTAAAGACCTACCGTCCTTGCATTTACGATGTCCCGGCTGGCACTTGCGATGGTCGCATTGTTCCTCGTCAAATCCGTCATTGCATTGGATCGTTCCGTCGCAAACCTAAATGCTTCGTCCGCTTCACTCACTTCCTACCCTACCTTGTTGCCTGGAATGCAGCGCCCATCGTTACAGCGGAATTCACTTTCGGAACAGGGCCTCGATGTTCCACCGCACTCATCAGCCGTTTCATCCGAGTTATCGCCACAGTCGTTTTCGCTGTCGCACATCCAACTGCAAAAATGGCTTGGCTTCCCATCTTAAACACCTTACCGCTTCGGAATGCATTTGCCGCTCGTTGCACAACGGAATTCACCGACGTCGTCACACGACGGGCAATGTTCACGATGCTCGTCCGAGTTGTCTCGGCAATCGTCTTGCCCGTTACAGAAGGCCCAATCGGGTATGCAGCGGTACGATCCAGAGCAGCGGCTCCAACCTAGAACCCGGTTTTTGATATTCAGATAAGGGGAAGGGGGGTTTAATCATGACTGTGATGACCGCCAGCTCACCCTTTCGGCAGTCTTGACTGGCACATTCAGGGGTTTCGTCCGAGCCGTCGCCGCAGTCGTCGTCGTTGTCGCACTGCCAGGCCTTCGCAATGCATTTGTGGTTGGAACATCGGAATTCCTCTGCAGTGCAATTGCGGGCCGGGTTTTCTAAATATATAATGCGGACATGTGCTCTAACGAACTGCATATTTCGTCGTTCTCATCAGAGCGATCTCCACAATCGTCGTCGCCATCACATGTGAATCGCTTTGGGATGCACTTGCCCGTGTTCTTGCACTTGTGCATCCAGGGATCGCATGCCTAGAATTTTGCATTGCTTTTTGAAGCACACCGACCTTGTCGCAATCCATCTCATCCGAGCCATCTCCGCAGTCGTCATATCCATCGCACATCTAAAGATTGCATTTCTGGCATTGTCGCTCGCCGTACCTGGAATGGTCGGGTGCAATTGTGGTTCTTGCACTGGAACTCGCCAACGGGACAAATTCTCTGGCCACAAATTTCCTCGCCCGGCTCATCGCTTTTGTCAGCACAATCCGGTTCTCCATCGCAGTACCACAGCTTGGGGATGCACTTAGCGTCATCGCCGCCGCAGGCGAATTGTCGCTCGGTGCAGTTGGCTTTGCATGATTTGCCATCTTCGAGCAAAATGAACTGGTCCGGGCAAGCACATGTGAAGTTCTTACCACCCGCCTAAAAGGAATGGGGCATACAGCCGAATGTTTGATATACCTGAATTAGGCAAAGATGGGAGCAACCGCCGTTGTCCTCGCCGCAAGGGTTTGGCCAGTCGGGTTGGCGAAGCGGGTGGACGATACGGACGTCGTTAGGCAGTTGGATGGTTTTTGCGAGTGTTGTCTCATTCGAGCCGTGCCATTTGTTCGATGACACTACTTCCTTCAGATTCCAGTCGCTCCAGAAGAGGGTATCGTCGAAGACCGTCATGCTGGTCACATGTGAGGTTCGCTTTGCTCTGATGTGTTTTCGACCATTGCCGTTCAGGTCCATGAACCTTAACCGGTGATATTAGAGCTTGGAATGATCAGTGAAATACTATTTTTGACCTAAACTTACCCAATCTCGTTGAGATGAGCGTCACCCCAAAACAGCCTTCCGGAATAATAATCAATTGCCAAAGCGTTTGGCCAGCCGAGATCGTTTTCGGCAAGCTAAATTTTTGTATTGCCTCGAATTTGGCAGTGTTTTACTTTGACTATCGGATCCGCCATTCCAGGGGAGCCATCCAATGCGACCTTGCCAATGTAGGCTTGCAGACTCCAATCAGTAAAGTATAGATAACCCTGAAATTTGTATTATACCGTTTATTATCAAAATATCGCTGAAAATTACCTCTTGTGGATGAACGACGATGGCCTTTGGCTGCTGGATGCGATCGCGGATTAGCGTCCTGCATGAACGACCATTCAATTCGCAGACACGAATCGCGCGCTCCTGCCTGTTCAGCAAATAAATTTTGCGTCCGACCCAATCAATCGCGAAGCCTTCAGTGCCAAAAATGTTGTGGCGCATCACCGTCTTCCACTGGGAGACCGGCGTGTCGGCCATGTCATCCAAATCGACGCTGAACAGTCGAAGCTTGCCAATATCGACGATGTAGACCTGAAATGGCGTTAGATAAGCCGAGAGGTCGAACCTTTTGATCTTTCATGTCGATATCCATGCTCACGACGTTGTCGAAACCCTGCGCTGCCATCTCATAGAGATTGCCATCCACGGACAGCTTCCGAATGTAGTGCTTGTTGGCAAGTAGCAGGTATGGTTGTGGCTCAGAATTAACCCTCTTGCATGTCTTGTCGTCCCGTGCCAAGCTGTACCCGTCTACACAGCCGCACTTGAACGATCCGACCTTGTCCTGACAGGTCTGCGAGCAGTTCGAGGTCCCTTCTGAACACGGAATTTTGCGATTCTAAGGACATTCTATATCTCCAAAAAAACCCAATTTACTTCGCTGGAACCTACCATAGCACTCATCAATGTTGTGGCAACTCTTTTTGTCCAGGGGATCAAGCGCGAAGCCATCGTGACAATCACATTTGTACAAGATCGGTAGGTCCGTACAAATTTGTTCGCAAATCGGGTGCTGGGCCTTTGCGCACTCATCGATAAAGCATTTTTCGCTCTCATCCGACCGATCCGCGCAGTCGTAGTTGCGGTCGCACACCTAAAGGAAGTGTGTTTAACGCGTTTTGCGGCAATTCGAAGCCGTACGTTTCCTTACCTTTTTCTCATCGATACAGTCACCGTTCGCGCATTGGAATTGCCCCTTGACGCAGGTAGAGTCGAGACCGCCGACTTCTTTCTGATGCTCGGCGCACTTCTTCTCGTCCGAACCATCGCCACAGTCATCGTTGCCGTCGCAGCGCCACGAGCTTGGGATGCATTTGTGGTTCTCGCATTGCCAGAATTCAGGCTGACACGACGAATAGGTACAATTTTGGTGTTCATCCGAGCCATCTAAGCAGTCATTGTCGCCATCGCATTCCCAGGCCTGTGGGATGCAGTGTTGGTTCTGGCATCGGAACTCGCCCTTGTTGCATTCCTAAAGTAGCAATTTCAATTTCAAGATGCCCGATTTGATACCCACCCGTTTTTCGGTCTTGCAAAGGTCGCTGCTCTCATCCTCACCCCCGGCGCAGGTCACGTCACCGTCGCAGAGCCAAGCCTTTGGGATGCATTCGTACTTGGGCTGCGCAAGCTGTGCATTCGAGGCGCAGTGGAATTCGTCTGTCCCGCAGGTTCGGTTCCCGCACTGATGGCGAGCATGCTCGTCGGATCCGTCACCGCAGTCATCCTCGCCATCGCAAATGAATGCCTTGGAGATGCACTTGCCGCTGTCGCATTGGAACAGGTAGTCGCCCACGCATATCTTCTTCCCTTCCGGACTTGCTGAAATATTTGATGTGTTTAATCTGTAGTCAGATACACATCAGATAAGCTCGCTAGGCAAAAACGCTTTCAATTCTACTCACTGCAGTTGGTGTGCGTCTCGTCCCAGGCATCGGCGCCACAATCGCTGTCACCGTCGCACTGCCAGTTTTCGGGGATACAACGTCCATTCGGGCATCGAGCGCTATAAGCGTTTTTGGTTTTTGTTGTCCGAAATCTCGCCTCCATACGCTAAAAAATGACTTACTAGTGTTGCGGGCATTGTTGGCTCATACAGAAGAGCTTGTCCTCGTCCGCCTTGTCTCCACAATCATCATATCCATCGCAAAGATCGGCTGGTTGGATGCAGATGTTCGTGTTCGGGCACTTCTTCCGGACACCACGGCAAATAATTGGCAATCCCGGGCATGTTTCCGCTGACTCATCCGCCACGCCAGGGCAGTCCTTTTGGCCATCGCATACCTGAATAGTTTTGTCGAAGCTTGAAAACAAATTTTCATGAGATAACGGGACTACAAGCTAAAAGAAAATTCGATCGGCCGTACCTTGGTCTGATTGATGCAAGCTCCATTCGGGCATGCAAATTGGCCGGCATCGCAGCTGGCGGCAAGCGAAGGGCAGCCAATCTCGTCCGAAGCGTCGCCACAGTCATCGATATTGTTGCAGCGAAGCGTTCCGTCAATGCAGCGTCGATTTGTGCAGAGGAAGTAATCATCAGGACAGGTTCTCGTCTCGCAATACCGCTGTTCTTCATCAGATCCATCCGAACAGTCAGGGACGCCGTTACATGTGCGTCCCAGCGAGATGCATGCGCCGTTTGTGCACTGGTAGTTGTATGGTGGCTGGCATTGAGTGCGGGGCGTCTGAAAATCATGGTTCCTTTTTGCTAAAAGCTTAGATGCATACCTCGCTCCTAAGCACGCATTGCGTCGCATAGTCTTTGCCAGGCTGTTGCACGAGTTCGTATGTATCATTGCAACCGCATTGCACGCGCGATGCGGCCACGCCCAACTGATCAGAAACGACGTGGCACAACTGCTCACAGCCACCATTATTGGTCTTGCACAGCTGAGTGGTCTGCGCGTTGCAGAATTGGTCCCGGGTTTTGACGTCGTCCTCCGAAGCGTAGACCTGCAGCGTGCCCGGGATTCGTCTATCCGCGACAACGACCTAAAATTAGCTTTTTGCTTGAATTTCGATTCTATTCCACCTCCACATCACCACCAGAATCTTTGTTCAACCGGAAGATACTGTTGCTGAGCGGGTCCGATACGTAGAGCCATTTGTCCCAGATATCCAACGAGCGTGCCCGATAGCCGGTAGCCAGAACTTTGCGGTTGGATCCATCGTAGTCGGAGCATTCAATCGTAAGGCGATTGACGTCGGCCCAGTAGAGCTTTTGGTCCCGGAAATCCACCGCTAATGTGGCGGGGAGCCCGACGTTCTCCGAGATGATGACCTCGCGGTTGCCGCCCGCCAAGTTTGAGCGCTCGATCCGCGGCTGGTAGGGCCCTGCAACACATCACGCACTTTAGGAGAAATTTAGGAGGACTTACCACCAGTAATTTTGTACCCATTGTCCGACCAAAAGAGAAGCCCGGCACATGGGTCAACAGCCAATGCGTATGTCCAATCGCCGTTTGCTAAAATTTGCCGTTAGCATCAGAGAAATTCTTCTCGTTTTGGAAAGCGCGAGACCTACCAATCGTCGCCATATGCTGTCCCTCTGTGTCGACGGCGTAGATCTTGCCATGACGACCCGTAGTGAAGTAGAGCTTCTCTGTCAGCCAATCCAGCTTCACGTCGGAAATGTGCCGGACCGCCGCGGCATGCTTCTGCTTGCCTGCACCGAAAACCAGGCGCGGGTTCTGCAATTGATGATGCAGTCCATACAAAAAATGGTTACATTTGCGTTGTTCATCGAGAACCAGGAGATGTTGACGCCGGCTGGGCTTTCAGTAACGTAGTACACTCGTCTGAAAGAGATATTAGCATTCGAATCTTGCCAAAACCTCAAATTAACATCTACGTCAAACATTTGCAGGTTTTCGATAGGAGGCAGGGCCTCCTTCATGGGACGAGGAGATTTAATGTCGGGTTCGATATTAGCATCGACAATGCGATCTCCATCAGAGAACATCAGGTAGGTGTCGGGTTCTGAAATTTTTTAATCAAGTTGTCAAGTCCGAGAAAATCATTAGCCTGAAAAGAGATTACCTTCGCAGGTCCGTCCCTTTTGAATTCCGCGTGCACAGGCGCAATTTGGCGTCTGAGTTCCGGGTTGGGAGAAGCAGAGCTGGGCGCATGGGGCCTTCCTGAATAAACGGAGCTGAGAGTCGTCGCTGGGCCCTACCTCAGATTGTCGGTGATCTGGCAAGGGGAACTGGCTTTCGGCTGGTTGTCTTCAGCAAAAACTATGACATCACCAAGATCCTTGATGTTTGCTGTAAGCGTGGTCGGTGAGAGGACAAGCGATGTTTGGTTCGGCTTGCTAAATTTTTCTCGTAGAAAGGGGGTGTTTGGCTTGGTATGGCAACCCGAAATCAAAACTCTTACTTGGAGGCCTTGAACACTTTTTCGAGTCGATTGTCCGTCCAGTACATGAGATCACGGAAGAGGGCAATGCCGGTCGCCGACGCGATATCGGTGCGCACCAGCTCTGGCTTGCCGCCGCTGGCTCGAACGCGGTATATTCCGTCCATCTTCGCGTCGGTCCAGTAGAGCATATGGGATGCCGGATCAACGATCAAGTCCGTGGGTTCCTTGATGTCTTCGGAAACTATGACCTCCCTGAATATTGACAATACGATCAGGATCCGGGGCCAAGACAAACCGGCGAGTTCCATCCAAGTAAGCCCGTTGGATCGTTGGTTTCTGTCCGCCGTCGGCCCAATATAGATACCTAAAGTATTGTCTTGCATTGCTAAATTTCGTTCCGAAGCTAGTGATTTTTGTGTACCAACCTTCCAATTGGATCGACAGCAATGCTCGTCGGCGTTTCGGTCTTGGTCGTAAAGATGATTTTGCGATACTGACCGTCAAGTTTTGCTACCTAAATTCAGGGCTGATGTTTTGCTAATCGCCTTGCCTCCAAGTTCGTGCGATCGGCGTCGACGCTGAGGAAGTAAATATTGTAATTAATCCAGTCGACAGCAATGCTCCGGATCGTGTAGCTTCCAAAGTGATCCCGGATGAGGGCACGAGGCTGCGCGTCCCCAAGAGTGTAGGCCGTGATTCCTAGAAATTGGAACTAGTATTTAATTCGGAGAACTTGTTTTTAAAATCCTGCTCTCCTTACCCTTGTTGATTCCGCTGGTTTCGGCGACAAAGATGGTCTTGCTCTCAAAATCATAATCCACCGAGGAGATCGACATGCCGCCAATTGGCTCCATTGCAACGCCCTTGGTTGCGGCTTCCTCTAGCCTAAAGGCAAAGCGATTAGAACCCTCAAAAACACTCACGGAACGCCGATGATCTTGTTCTTCGACGCGACGACGACAAATTCCTCATCGTAGAGTCGGCATCCGGTCGAGCCGTCGTTGCGGTAGCCGGTCGCGCAGATGCACTTGAGCTGCGAGAAAGGCTGCGGGATGCAAATATGGGCGCAGTTTCCGTTGCTGGTGCGGCATGGATGATGTACCGATGCTGAAAGGTTCGGGCCATTCATTTTGTTTGTCTCAACGCGACTTACAGGGCCTAGGCTGAACGACCTTGATATTGACGAGGTTCTCGATATCCTTCTTGAACACAGAGAAAGCGGGCGGTTGCCCATCGCCGACGACCGTGCCCACCTCGATGGCATCGAAGGCTAAAAACCGAGGTTTGTGGGGTAGGGAATAAATATAGTGCGCACCTGAGTCGGCATAAAACAGACGATCCGAGAAGAAAGCAAGCCCATTTGGCTGCTTTCCAGCATCATTCAGGACGTAATGGCGATCTTGGCCATCGTAGGTGACCGAGCTAATGCGGCCAGCTTTTGCCTCAGAGAAATAGACCCTTTGTTGGCTGGTGTCTAGCGCGATATGATCCAGCTCGGTCAAGTCGTTCGTTGCCAGGACAATCGCGTTCGTACCGTCTGTGCCGGCCTTGGCCACCTAAACATCCACGTCGTTTCAACCGCCAGCTAAGCCTATCTAACCTTTGGGTTGGCTGCACCGCCGCCGCGATCAAGCCAGAACACTACACCTCGGTCGGCATCCACCGCAATGGCGACCGGATTCACGACAGCCGTTGGCGATTGGTCGTTGGTCAGGATTGTGGCACGATACTGAAAAGTTCCCATTAAAACTGTAATTTTATTGGGTAGCTCCGGGCAACGTAATATGAGGGTTGGTTAGTGATCGTGCTCAGTTGGTTCGCCTAGCGCGTTCATTTTAGACTGTTGAGCGTCTGTTCCACTCGACAGCTCGGTAAGCGATTGATTGGCCTAGCAACAAAATATGGAATGCATTTACAAGGAGATCAGAGTTGAAATCTTCAAAAATGTCGAGGAACGGGTTCACGTTGTGCCATTTACTGCCGTGTTCCTTGAAAGTTTGAGATTAAACGATAAAAAGACATTAATGCTTTCTTTCCTCTTCGATCGAGTCAAAATTTCGGTAGTGATGTATTGCCTCAATGCCAACCTGTTTTCCACTCGTTCTGATCACTTCGATCGTCTGTGAAATCTTGTTGCCGACGAAGAGGTTCCGCCCATTCCAGTCGAAAGCCATACAGAAGGCATCATCCGGCACTTGGCTGGCAAAGATCTGCGAGCGATTATTGTTGCTGAGGCTGGCTCTGAAACAAAGCATGCTTCTTAACAAGATCGTGAAATTACCGGAATATTGCCGAATCGGTGGAGATTTGCAGAAGGGAACGGGCAACGCTCGAGTGCTCCAGTACGAACAGCTATATTATAGGTCAAATGTGGATTTTCCAAAAATGCCTACTTCCTGGGCGTCTGCATCGTAGCCGGCGTCAAAGGCGTTTGTGAAGCCGGCAAGTGGCGTCATTCCGGAGAGCAGAGGCACGCTGTTGTCCCTGGGCGCCATCTGTACACCGAAGACGTTCGTCTTCTGGATCAGCAACAAGAATGGTTGCTCGTCGTTGAGACATTCGTGGCCAGATGTGTCCAATTTGCGGCCCATCGGGCACGTGCATGTGTAGGTCTGAAAATAATGCACTTGGGTTTGAGCTTCTCAGCTGTGGAGAAGGATCGCCCGGACGATGAAGGTTGCAACAAATTTGGCAACACCTACCCCCTTCTTGCCGATCAAGCAGAGATGACTGCAAAGATTGCGGTCGCACGGATTCTTGATGCCCTTAAAATAATTTTGAAAAAATCCATGATTGCCACTTGCCTTTGGTTGCAGAACCGGATGGACGGCGACAACGCCGAGCGCTTTAGAGAATGTGTGTGATTTGTAGTCTCCATTGGTTCCGTTAGGGTACTTTGGATATACCTAAGCAAACGTTATAGAACAACTTATAGGCAGGAGACAGATAGGTTTGCATTCCTTACTTGAAGCTTCTGGAGTCGACGATCGGAGTAGTACATCTTATCCTCAAAGATTGCTACAGCATGTGGATGCTGCACGAATTTCGAGGCCGAGATGACTTGGGTTCTTCCTAAAGCATTTGTTCTTTGGGGCCTTTAGAGTCGACGGCTACCTGTGCCATCGTAGTTGACAAAGTCGATGTAGTCTAGCTTGGAGTCGGCAAAGTAGACACGCTTCGTGGTGAAATCAAGGGCAATGGTGTTTGGCCAGTATATCTAAAGGATTGTTCCCCATCGTCAAGTCAGTCTGGCTTACTTTGTCTTTAACGAGAATCCGTCGGTCCGACCCGTCCATGTTGGCACGCTCGATCCGTGGCAGTTGTCCCCAGTCCGACCAGAACAGGAGGCCTATAACGGGGATTCTGAATTGACACTTGAAGCCTACCTTCCATTGGATCGACAGCAATTCCTCTGGGTTGTGAGACATTTTCATGGACGAGCAAAGAACGTGCGCCCGGCTTGTCGAGGCTTGCGACCTGAAAACAAAATGGATTTCTCGGGGGCAGCGAAGGAGGATCTGCCAGATTTCCACTAGTAGAAATTGTCAAACCTCAATGGTGTTTAGTGAGGAGTCCACCCAGTAGATATTCCGAGCCACCCAGTCAATTGCAATGCCTTCTGTGATGTCCAGACCTAAAGTGTACATTGAGTATTCTGACGGCGAAACCCCACCTTCGCCAACGACAACGCTAACGTTCGTGCCGTTGCGTGTGGCCGAGAAAATCTTCTTTTCCCGGATATCCGACCAAAATATCCGATCGGAGACGGAATCCCAGGCCAGCGCGATCGCGTTTTCCACCGAGAAAAATGATCATTGCAAGAAAAAGTCTACTGAAATACCTGAGCGGCAAACGTTCGCCAGTTTTCGAGTCCGGCGTCACTCCAGTAGATGCGATTTCGGTTGGACACGTACACGCGGGCCTCTCCCCGATTTTCGCTCACTTTGCACGTCTTCTTGTCGGCATCCAGGACGTAGCCATCATCGCACGAGCATTCCCAGCCGTGTTTAAGATCCTTACAACGTTGAGAGCACGTTCTCGCGTCGAGGCATTCGTTTTCCGGCTCACAGCGAGTCTTATTGATGAGCTAAAAGTCTTGGGGGTGAATCTATATTTTCATCTTGCCTGTTCTCCGAAAGGACAGCTGCATACTGGGCCGTCTGGTCCGTTGTGACACTTGTAAGCGCAGCCGGCCCGATCGGCCGTGCAGAGATTTCGACCGCAGCGTCCTCCCTCGTCGGAACCTAAAGATCGTCTTAATGTTGCTGATTCCACGGTTACAAAACATCAAAACAAGCTTTGATCGAACCTACCGCCGGGACATTGTTCCTTCCCATCACATAGTTGATCAAGGCGAATGCACTGCTCGGGAGCGTCAGGGCAGGCCACTTGATCGTATGGGCATTTCAACTGTAGCCATTCTATTGTCTGTGGCAAATTTCTTACCGCGTTGGCATTTTTCTGGCATCCATTAGCTTCAGACTCATCCGAGTTGTCGCCACAATCATTTTCTCCGTCGCATTTCCAGGCATTTAGGATGCAGCGCCCGTTGGCGCAACGGAAGTGCTCGGGCTTGCATTGCTGACCTCGGCCGCAGTCACGTGGCTCGTCGGAGCCATCGTCGCAATCCTGAATTCGCAATTGGAGACCTGATTTGGAGACGTACCCGCTGTCCGTCGCACTTCCAGTTGGATGGAATGCAGAACCCCGTCGAAAGGCACTTGAACTGCTCGCTGGTGCAGGCTCCTTGCTGAAAAAATGATTTGGTTTTCCGCATCGAGGACAAGTTATCGTTACTAACCTGCACGGCACAGCTGTCTTCGTCAGAGCCATCTTCGCAGTCCTGTTGCCCATCACACTGGTTCCGCAACGAGACACATTGACGTCCATTGGCGCATCTAAACTTAGAAGATGGGATGCTGACTTTAAATGCAATTCGGACGACCTAACTAGCCTAGCCGAACTTGCCTAAACTGATCGGCTCTGCATTGCACAGGGGGACAGCGCTCTTTGTCTTCATCGGTGTTATCATAGCAGTCGTTGTCTCCATCGCAAAGCCAATAGATTGGTATACACCGACCATTGGCGCACGAGAACTGATTGGCAGCACAAGTGACGTTAGAGCAAAGCTCCAGCTTTTCATCAGAACCATCCCCACAGTCGTTATCCGAGTCGCACTTCCACTGTTCCGGGATGCAGCGGTGGTTGTCGCATTGGAACTTCTTGGCCGAGCAGACCGGCCGTTGTCCCTCCTTACAGTACTGTGCATCCTCATCGGAAAAGTCGCCGCAGTCGTTGTCCCCATCACAGCCGTACTGGGCGGGAATGCACTTTTTCGTCGTTTTGCATTTGATCGTATTTTCCGGGCACTCTTCCTGCAAAGGTTTCAGGTCACCTGATAAAATTGAAAGCTTACCTCATGGTAGCACTTTTCTTGCTTGTCATTGACCTCATCGGAACCATCCAGGCAGTCATCCTCCCCATCACATTTCCATTCGTTCGGAATGCAGCGCCCGTTGGCACACTGGAACTGCGAGTCCTTGGCGCATTGTACCGTCTCCTCTTTCGGGGCGGATGAGTCGCGCACGCATAGATGCGGATCGGAGGGTCCGATTTTGAACGAATCCTTGCAGCCACAGCGTTTGACGAGACGGGGGTGCGCATCGGAAAAGTCTTCCTTCTCAGGAACACCGAAGCAAAGGTGCCGGCACGCCTCCTCGCTATCGGAGTTGACGTGGCAGGGGTGGTCTTGCTGGGAGTCGTTGGGTGGAGGCTGATTGCCTTGGGAGCACGCTGAATGAGTTGTTGATTAGGAAATGGGTGGATATGTTTTTTACCTTTCAGGGAGAAAATACTCCTTTCCTCCTTATCGAAAGCGCGGATGACATGTCCGGGACCCCCGTTGATCTTGTTAACGCGCCGAATCGAATAGGGACGTTGATGGACGTAGTAGAGGTTTTCTGAATAGCTGTGGCTAAGGCCCACTGCGAGAACTCACCTCCCATAATGGCGAGCGCAATCGGAATTGGCGGCGTGTCGATCGGGAGCACCGCGACACGGCCTCCATCAAAGTCCATGCAGCTAAGCAAAGCACCGTACAAAAAGAAACAGCGTTACTGACCTGATGGTTTTCAGCAGGGTATCACCAAAGCAGAGCTTGTCCCGTTCGAAGTCGATGACCAGCTCCGAGGGTCGGCCCAAGGTGGTGTTCCGTATGACCTGACAGTTAGTGGCATCGATGAAGCAGCGATAGATTCTGGCGGGGCGTTGCGCTTCGGCATAGAAGAGCAGCCCTTTCCAGGGATGTACAACAACGGAAACTGGGTCGCGAAGGTTGGTCAACAGCTGGCGGTGAACAAGTGACTCCGGGTTCACTAGTCCCTGATCCAACACCTAGTAAATGTATAGTTATGTCAGTGGAAGCAATATACAACCCACCTTGACCACTTCGAGGCTGTTTCGGATGTTGTCAACGTAGTACAATTGCTTAGACACCCAGTCGAAGCTCATCGACACGAGACCGTCATTGTGGGTGACGAGAATTGGGGCCTGACTCTCGCCGTTGTTTGTCTGTCGATAGATCGTGTTATCCATGATGTCGGCATAAAAGAATGAGCCGCCGCTGACGTCGCATTCGACCTCAAAATACATCCCGATACGTCTTTGCGACACAGGCGAGATGGGCAGGATGGCATCGGAAAGCGCGGGTTGCACCTAGGAAAAGCTGAAGCTTGGGGCATTAACACCTACCATATCGGGGAAGATTCCGCGAACGATCTTGTTTGATGAAAAGAGTAGGTAGTCAATTGACGGAATGCATCGCCTTCCGTCAACAAGCCGATGGCCAATCTCACAGGCGCACTTGAAGCCGACGCCAAAACCTCCCGCGTCTTTCGCTAATAGGCAGATCTGCTCGCAAGGGCTGTTTGCACAAGGATTTTCGATCTAAAAATTCGTTTCTCGGAAAATCAAGACAAACGGCTGACCTTCATGCCAAGGCAGTCGGCGTGTCCAGGACCGGGCTGGGCCATCTCATGATAAGTGGAAATTCCCATCGGAAAGACGTTATTCTCCGTCTTCGTCCAGATCATCTCCGTCGGTGAACCGAATTTTTCGATCTTTACAACTCCGAGCCGAGTCCAGTCCGTCCAGTAGAGGAATTGGTCAAAGAGAGCGAGCCCGAACGGGTGAGGCACGGTGTTCATCCCTAAACCATGTTTTTTAAAAGATAAGACAACCTACCTTGGGCTACGACACGGCGATCATTTCCAGTGTAATCCATCGATTCGACCCGATCAACTTTCGGGTCGACCCAGTAGACACGCTTGGCCGGGATGTCAACTGAAAAAATCGGCGTGCTTTGGAAACACGGTTTCAACAACTTACCAACAATGCCTGAAACTTGATGGGTATGAGTTTTGACTAGGACACGCCGTCTCGACCCATCCATAGCTGCGCCTTCGACGTTGAACTGATTGGTGAAGAACATCTCTCCGCGAGTCGGGTCGAGGGCAATGTCCAGTGGCAGCGTCATGCCATCAGCGAGCAACACGGTGCGACCAGTGCCGTCATAGTTGACGACGTCGATGCGCCGCGAGCCCGACTCGATGATGTACAGCTTGTTGGTGATCCAATCGACGGCCAGGGAACGCGGGAAAAGCAACGACTTCAGACCCAGCTTGCTGAAGGGGGGTAAATTCTTCAGAACTTCCATAATTAGAATCTCGAGTTCCAGAATCTCGAACTTTCAGAATCTCGGACTTTCAGAAGCTCGAAATTTGCATAGGCTGGATGTAGGGCGTAAACGTGCAATTCTGACGCCTCTTAATGTTGATTCAGACTATGGCAATTTTAAGATTCTGAAAATTTGCGACTCTGAAAATTCGAGATTCTGGTTTTTGAATATTCGGATAGGGAATCCACCGGGTCGAAACAGCAAACCAACCTAATTTGAGACACCTCTCCGCTTTCATCAATGTTTGCACTATACGCGGCATGCGTAAGACGATCGGTCCAAAAGATTTTGCGGTCCGAGTAATCGTAGTCGACGCTGTAGATGAATTCGCCATCAGCCACTTTCACTGGGGACTCATTGGGACCGTGCGGATCAATTCGGTAGAGGCCCTCGCGGCGTGCTACAAAGAGCTTCAGCTTGTCGGCGTCCTTGGAGACACAGTAGCCGCGCAGGGTCTGATTGTCCTAGGAAATGTTTTTGTGGGACCAAAATTAAACGCTTACCTTGCCGGGCCCATGCATCATTTGCATCGTGAAGCAATCTCCCAGGCAAGAGCATGTAAACCCAGGCCGATGGTTGGCGCACAGTTGATCGCAGTACCCGAATTGGGCGCATTCATTCACATCTGAAATGGCGTCAATGGTGCCGGCGCTTCGACGTACCCGAGCACGTTCGATGGAAGCGCTGATCGAGTTGATATCCATCGGGGCAAGTGCAGACACCGCCATGCGGTGAAGCATGGCAGCCCGCCTGACAACCAAGGGAGTCGCAGAGGTTATCGGCTAAAGTGAGAGGTGGCTATCGTTCGATCGATGACTTACAGCATTGCTTTTCGTCGGCGCCATCAGCACAATCGGAAATGCCGTCGCAAAGCTTCAGCTTTTCGATGCAGTGGCCTAGATTTTTGTTTACAACTTCTCTGACCTGTCAGAAAATTTGCTCTTTTCCGCCTTATAACGTTTTTGTGTTTGTTCGCCTGTCTTTCGAGATTATGGGAAAGTTGGGTTTCTGTTGCCAAGTCTACATTGCAGCTGTCAAGGCCCGCGAAGCGGTTTTTCGACGACCAAGAATCGCTTGACCACTTACCACTTCCCGGACAGTGCCATTTCCCCGGCGGGCATTTGTACTCGCCGCAGTCTTCCTCGTCCGAATTGTCGCCTGAAACCTCGAATTTTTTTTACTGCTCCTGACACCGTACCGCAATCATCATAGTAGTCGCAGCGGAATTTCCTCGGCTGACACCGTTTGTTCTTGCACTGGAATTCGGAGGCGGAGCATTGCTTGAACTCGCACGTGTCCGGCTCGTCGGATCCGTCGGCGCAGTCCTTCGACCCGTCGCAGACCCAGTTTTTCTGAACATGGGTTGTTGTTTTAGTGGCTTCAAGGCGTCGGACACCTGAATGCACTGCGTCCCGTCGGCGCACCGGAATTGGTATTGGAAGCATGCTTTGTGATTTTGGTTGCACGTGTCCTAAAATATGGCCAAATGAGTTGTACTTGTGTCTGCAACATGCCTGCTCGTCGGATAGGTCTCGACAGTCGTAGATGCCGTCGCACTTCTTGGTCTGCGGGAAGCACTGTCGACCGTCGGCGCATTGGAAGACGCCGGGCGACGAGCAGCTGACCGGGGTGGCGGCTAAGGAGAAACTTAGCAGAGAATAGACAACCTACGACAATCCTTTTCGTCAGAGCCGTCGTGACAGTCCGTAATGTTGTCGCACCTGGAAGGAATGAAGTTTGGGACCTACAGTTTCGAGCCAACGAAGCTGCGAACCACCCACTAACCGTTGGTACTCGGCAATGCAGCTGACGGAGTGGAACTCATATTTGTCGCATTGCCACTGGTCGGACTTGCAGCCGGGATGGGCTAGAATTCGCGGCGTTACCGGATCTGAACTTGACAACTAACGACAGTCTTTCTCATCCTCGCCCCCCGCGCAATCGCCAGAACCGTCGCAGCGCCACTCAGAGCGCACGCACTTTCCGTCGTTGCATCTAAATTTTTGCATAGATGGACGTGCTCGCCTTCGTCTTACCGGAAGTCCCCTTCGCTACAAATCGCGCTTCCACTGCCTAGGAAAGCCGAAACGCTGCCGGAGTGAAGACTCGATACTCGGGGCGGGGGTGAGTCAACTAAATAGGAAAATTTTGGGATGTACGGAGTGGCTGACGGAGGATTGATACCGATTAAATTAAGTTTTTATAGAAACATTGAATTAAAAATTGGCCATCACTGCCGACCGCTAGCAGGCATTTTTTGGGACACCCTGCGTCTATCCGCCTCCTCCCCATGATGAGGCTGTAAACGGCTCCACGTCCTCCAAATAATACCCAAAATTTCAATCACGTTCCCCATTGTTGCCAAATCCCTACAATGTTATTTCAATTTTCCCTTTACTCATCCAGTTTCACCATATTGGCACAACGGAGTGGCGCAGGTGACCTGGACGTGCGCCTCAACTCAGACAATCCGATTCCTCTTGCCCCCACCCCCTCCCGGAAGATATATGGGTGATAATATCGGGTGATGGGGATGGAGGGGGCGATTCCGAAATAAACCAGATCCCGTGCTCTGTTCTCTCCCCCCAGTCGCCCAGTTCGGGCTCTGTGCCCATTGATCGATTCACCTGGTCGCGCACCTTAAAGGGATGTGGAAGTGCAGCCCCGGCCATGAATCGGCACGGATAAAGTGGAAATGACCTCATGCCTTGCAACTATAGCTTTGAGCCAAAAACTATTTTTAAAGGGATCAGGAAGGCATGGTAGATCAGGCTCATCTAGGATTGGCAACAAGCCAGCCGGAAATGCTAATGCAGAAAAATGAGAAGAGATTGGGGCGAGGCAGGTGGGAGCAGAAAATATTTATGCTAATTTTTCCTGGGCCTTCATGATCCCTTTAAGCCTAACAAGTAGTTGTCAGCGTAGGCCTGAGCCTAAAAAAAAGCTTCATCCTCTTCATCCTAAACCTAAGCCTGAGCAACTTTTTTTAAGTCGCGACACAAACACCCACCTTGCAATATCCGTTGCGCCGTCGAGATGCCATCAGCTAAGGGAAGCAAAAATAAAAGAATAAGGGCCTCAGCATAGCTTCGTCGTCTCATCCTCACCGCACTGCACAGACATCTGGCGGTATACCGGGCCGCGATTGGAACTTCGAGCGTCGACCCCTCAAGAAGGTTTTTTTTAATGTGGGGCGCCTCGGGTAAAGTTTATTTTGTTACGCTTGCAAAGAGAACATCGACGACTCATGTTTATAGCAATCGGGCGGAGCACCGCGAAAAAACATTGATTTTGGCGAGATAGCCGCGCAAAAGACAGCGTTTGGCCTTGAGGTAGCCGGAGATTTAAGGGTCGCTTGGCTGTGATCTATTCCTGGCAATGTTCGGATAGTTTCCAGCCATCAACCGACAGTCTTTGGGCAGCTGACTACGGTCATAAAATGGAAAAGGGATCAAAGTACGCCGTCAATAAGTATTTTTATAGAATACTGCCCTTACAAGAAGGCGTTTTTAGCGTCTACCGAGTTTCGAAATGCGACCAAGCCTATGATATGCAGAATTTGTTGCTTATTGCAACGACCAAATTTCAAAAGTTATGGAGCTTGAAAGCGTGAGAAAAGATGTGGCCAATTTGCGGTTCTTCGCCCTTTAAAGCATCATCACTTTCTTATTTTGGTCGTTTCGGAAATTCGGAAAACGAAGTCTTCGTTAGCGAAAAATTCTACATAAAATAGTCTTACTCCATCCCATTTCGACACTCCATGGACGTTAAAAATGTCTCCTTGTCAGGCCCCAAATTTCACCAAAGGGTCCAGGCTTGCACAAAAAAAATCAGCAATTCATAGCGATATGAGATAACGAATTTGTTATCGAATGAAAAGACGCTGACCTTGGAAGGTTACGCCCACGAAATGATGCTTGTTTGGGCAAGAACGGCTAAACAATACAAAAAGTTGAATGACGGATGGGTGTCAAATGGGGCGCTCCGGTGCGCAGATCCGATCATTTGGGTTTAACAATGGTTTTTGGCACTCCTTTCCCCAAAATACAGCGAGAATTTTGTATTGAAAGAAGGGGGAAACGTGCCAATTTTGTTGAAAGCGATAGAACGTCGATGAAAAAATCGAAGACCTTGAAAAAGCCCAGGCCTAGGGCAGGCCGATACCTTAAATCATACGCAAGTATTTCGATGAATAAGAAATAAGACTGGCCGACCAGGAATGCCATAGCAAGTGTAGCAGACAGGTTTAGGACTTTCTCGAGGGGCTCAAGGCCGCCTGAAGGCCCCTCTCTTCCTTCTATCGCCTGGGATCAGGGGCCGACTCTAGGTTACCGCCTGGCCGTCTATCGATTCATCTAATCTGCAGGGGGTGCTCTCAGCTAATATGTTCGATAGTCTGGGATAACAATTTTAGAATTATGTCACTGGTAGGCGATTTGCTTTCTAAGTTTCTTAAGGGGAACAGGATCTCTTCGCAAGTCTTTGGCTTTCTAAGGTCCTAAACATAAGTACAGTTTTTTTGTTTGCCACCCCGAACCGCAAAATTTTACAAAATGGCTTTCAAAAAGGTAGGTTTGAATAAAAACATGGTTTTGAGAATTGTTGCAAGCTCGCCGTTTCAAGGGCTTTCGAATGGTGTAACTATCGTTGCGATCCCAACTTCTACCGGAGTTAGAGGGGGTGTCTTTTATTAGGATGCCCTCTAGGCGTTAAGCCTCTTATCGAAATTCTCAAGGACTCGCTAAGCCAAATCCATATTTCTAGCAGTGATTGAAATGAAATGATGAAATGAAATGTACAAAAAATCAGCCATCAAAAAATTCCAGAGCCTTTCACGAGCAATTTGGGTAATTGATGAAATCCGGGGGGGAGTGAGGTGTCGGGTGTTGTGACAATGTGGATTAAGAGATGGCAGGGGGAGAAGGCAAATTATTAGAGGAACCGGTCCCGTCATCTCGCCTCCCCCTGATTCGCGCTCCCGGCTCGTCTCGGATCCACGGCGGCCGTCTCGGCAAAGTACAGGATCACGGCTTCCGCGCAGCGTTTCACAAAGTTATATCTTTAAGTGGCGGATTGGGATAGTGTTTTAGGTGTTTCTTTACGTAAACTTAGGCCTAAGCTTAAGCCTTAGCCTAAGCGTACGTACGGGACCAAGCCTATGTTGTGCGGCTTTTCAGCTCATTCCCTAACTGTACCGGGTACCGAACTTTTTTTATAAATCTAGAAATGCTTAGTAAGTTCATAAACAGTGTTCGAACCGTGTTTTTAGAATATCTAACTATCCTTACCCCGGAAAAGCAATCTAAAAATTCAATAAACGTTTTAAGTCGAAATTTCGGTCAAAATCGGCTTTTTCGCCGAAAAATCGATTTTGACGTGTTTTATAAAAGTTCGTAAAGTTTTCGCGTTTAGCTATTATCAACAACCGCCTAGAAACACTGCCACTACTTATAGTAGAAAAATGAGGGCCTAGGAGAAAAGTTGGTCCCCCCCCCCCCCCGGAAATGCAAAAGAACCTTGACGCCATAGCATCATTCCGCTTCAAAATGTCAAAAATGCGCCAAAGGACCGGAACGGCAACATCCGGGACGAGGTATAGGACCGTCCGTTTTGCGTGTGTGTCGTGTCAACGGATAAACCGGGGAAGTGAGTGTGGTGACTGTGGTGAAGGGGGGATCAATGGAATGGAAGGGAAGGGATCGGATGCCCGAATGGGGGTCATCTTGCCCCGCAGCCAAAAACCACTATCTATTGCCCGTCTTACCGCAAGCATCTACAGACAGATAATAACGTCCAGTAGTATATCCACTTTGTCAATCAATTGTGGTCTGATAAAAAGGCAAGTTGGACATTACTTTAACCACCACCACCTCGCCATCCGGAAGCTCCTCCAAACCATAGCGAAAATTATCAAATGGGTCTTTAACCGGCTTCCGGGGATAATTCTGGTTTTGGGTAAGCGCAACCGATGCCTTTCAAAGTTTTCGTATTTGCACGAGTTTTTGGGGGATATTCTCAACGCCGTTCCATAGAGCGTCGAAAAATATACTGAGCGTGTTAATTTGAGCGCAAAATAATGTAAAATAAAAAAGTTATAGTCAAAACCGTAACCGATAAAGTAAACGGTAGCCTGGTTTCGCCATAATTTATTTAGAGTAGATCATTTTAAGGAGGATGACAACCCTTAGGATAGTTTTGAGGCTCTAGCCAATGGCGCTGCGAAAATTCGGGAAATAAATAGGATATAAACAGTTTGACTGTAAAGGTGCAGAAAAGAACCTATCAAAAGTTCGGAAATTTCCGAATGGAAACACCAAGAAATTAAAAAAAAAACACGTTTGGAGCAAATCAGGCCCGGAAAGCCGAGGCGGAGAGCAGGGGTGCGCGCGACAGAAAAGTGTGTCAATGAGGGCGGGCAGAAAAACAAAGGACAGCAGCTGGGAAAGTGAGTAGAAGTCGGGTATCGAGAGTCGCATTTCTGTGCATTTAAATCGAGTAAAAAGCGGCGCAAGTGTGGGCGATCAGTCTTATGCGAATGTTTATACATATCATTTCGACGTGGAAATAGAGAGGTTGATAGAGTTTAATACAAAAAACTATCGTTGCATGCAACTTTCGTCACCGTGTTCCAGTAGTATCACAATAAAGGGGATGGTTAGCGGTATGTATTATTCCCCACTAGAGACACCTAAGCCTAAGCCCAAGCCTAAGCCTAGGCCCAAGCCCTAAGCCTAAGCCCAAGCCTAAGCCTAAACCTAAGCCCCAGCCCAAGCCCTAAGCCTAAGCCTAAGCCTAAGCCTAAACCTAAACCTAAGCCTAAACGCAATCGAATGGCTATGCGTGGATCGGAGCTTTCTTTATGTTTTCTTGACGCGTTGCCGCAGGGGATGCGCGCGCGGCGGAGCAGACGAAAACCTGATAGGCGAGGCTAATGAGAGACCAGACCCGATCCCCCCTCCACTGTCCGCGCGGGGGCGCCCAAGGCTCGCGCGGATTCGCAGAGCCGTTTTCTCGATCAATCGAACGAAATCCCGGTGGGTCGATGAGTGTATGGTTTTTGGATGGCTCACAACTCGCTGGATGAAACGTTCAAAGGCTTAGTGCCACGCGCGCCTTAAAGGGATCAGGAAGGCCCAGGAAAAATCGTCGCGGCCTGGTAGATCATCAAAAAATATACGCAGAGTTTTAGTTTTAGATAAAAACACTATAATTTAAAACAGACACCAGTTATAACAATAGCAAAAATCACCCTGAAAATGGGGTGGGCAGCTATTTTCCGGATTTTCCATATTTGTCGATACTCTGTTAACGCTATGGAATAGAACAACAAAAACAACGAAGAGTTTCATCTAAAGCTCAAAATAATGCAATTTAGGCGAAGAGAAGCTCAAGACATAAGATGCCGCCCCGCTAACGAACCAGAACCGAGGGGCAGGCTAGCAGAGATGTTTTAGCCGGGAACATGCCAGCGGATGCTGGCGGATAGAGGAAGATAGCGGATGGGGAAAGGCCCAAAATTTCGACAGCCATAATGCCGACAGCCATAATGCCGACCGGGTAAATCCCGACAACTTACAGATTTTAAAGCCATTTATGAGTAAAACAACCGGAAATATCACATTTTTGCCTGTCGGGATTTTGGCCTGTCGGGATTTTGGCAGTCGGGATGATGAATGTCGGAATTTTGGCTGAAATGCCTAGCAGAGAGAGATTCTTTAAGAAACCGCAGGACAGCAAAAGTTTCTTAGGCGAAGACTCTCGCTAGCACAAAAACGGGGAAGATCTCTTCCCCGAAAATGGTGACGACGATGATCCGGAGAATGTAAAGGATAGAATTCACGACGCAAACAGGTGTGCGCGCATAAATGGGGCGGGAGCGTGTATGGGGCTGATTGCCTTACAGGGGGGAGGCACAACGAGTGAGCGGGCCCTCGGGGCGCCGGAGACGAGGCGCGTCTTTAACAGGACAAACAGACAGACAAACAGAGACACAGATAGAGAGAGCGAGAGCCCTTCCATCGCTTCGTTCGCTTGCGCCCACAGTCCTTCCACCCCATCACGGCTCATCGGAGGGGAGGAAGGAGACCCTCCAGGCCCCACCGAGGACCCCTGTCTCGATCTTTTCGATGTCGAACGCGAACCAGCCGAATGCGAGCACCGAATTTGCCTAAAAAAATGCGCCCTACCTGAATTTACGCAGCTACATGACTTACACGCTTCCTGATCAGAATCTCGAATTTACAGAATCAGGAACTTTCCATAGTATGAATCAAAATTCAGGGCTGCAGGAATTACACGCCTACGCCCTGCATCCAGCCTATGCAAACTTCGAGATTCGGAAAATTCAAGATTATGGAAATCTGAGATTCTGATAATGCGAGATTATGAAAATTGGAGATCCTAAAAAATCGAGGTTCTGAAAACTCGACGCTCGAATTTTCGAGATTCCGAATTCCGAAATTTTGTTAAGTTCCCAAGAAGCAGGCCCTCTAGGCCCTACCGAGGACCCCTGTCTAAGAGAAAGGATCATCCTAGACCGGAGCCTGAGCCCAAGCTTAGGGCTAACGAAAAGCAGCCGAAGGTCAATTTTCGTGAATTCTTTTAGCGAGCGCCCTTCGGAGTTCTTTATTAATGAAGATCTTCCCGATAACAGTCGTATCAAAATACGCATCACAATCATCATGGGGCATTTTGGGCGGCCATCTCGATCTCCTTCGCTTTTCGTTTGAGGTTCTCGAGGATGGCGGTCTGGTCAACGTACTCGAAAACGTTTGGCGCAGAACACAGAATCCCGACGGTGCCTCCCACTAAAAATTCGTGGTAAATCTGGAAGGATTGTTCCCGGGCTTACCAGTGACGGCAAAGAAGATGTAGAGCAGCAGCCGGTCGAGTACGGTGGCCACAAAGCGCCACTCCTCTCGCATCTGGGTTATTGGCAGGGTTGGTTGGAAAATACAGCGGTAAGTAGCTATTCTAGGTCTAAGCCTAAGCCTGAGCCTAAGCTCGAGCCTAAACCTGAGGCTAAGCCACGTACCCTCTTCTGGTCGTTGTTCGTCCTCAAATGTTCGGTGATGTATTCAATGGCCTCGATCGCTTTGATAGCCTCGGATCCGAGACCCTCCTGAAAAGTCGAGCTTTGCTTATACTTCCGAAAATCGGAATCCTGAAAAATCTGAATCCCGAAAATCTGATTACCGAAAATCCAATTCCCGAAATTCTATTTCCCGAAAAATCTGAATTGGAAGAATCTCCGGTCTGTGAACTAAAGAATTTGCTAGTTTCCGTGTTGGCGCCCGCTTAGGCTTAACTTAGGCTTCGGCCGCTCCGTGATGCGACTGTGACGATTGAAAGCTCGTTTGAAAGCCCTTGACGAGCCGGATCGAATGGTGCTACTTATAAGCCGATTTAATAAAAGCTAAGCCCGCTAAGCCGGCTTATGTCTTTCGGGGCTGCCCAAAAATTGCAAAACGCTGTAAATTTGCGCTGGAAACTCAGATCGTCGATCTGGAACCTGTTCTGACATGCTAAAGAGCTGCCCAATCTACCATGAAAATTTGAAAACCTGAAACTTAATTCTAAGGGTATCGACTTTTCCCGGGTGGTCGAATCGGACCTCGGGCTTGGCCACCCGGAATTGCCAAAATCGCGCGGAAGCGCGCTGGAGCTCCAATTTTTTGCATCTAGGCTACTAGAAGGCTCAAAAAGCACCCCTAGTAATTTGAAGGCGCTACGACAGCGGGAACTGGTCGAACCGTCATTGGGGTGTTTTTGGTAGTTTTTGAGTTGGGGCCCCCTTAGGCTTAGCTTAGGCTTCGGCCGCTCCGTGATGCGACTGTGACGATTGATAGCTCGTTTGAAAGCCCTTGACGAGCCGGATCGAATGGTGCTACTTATAAGCCGATTTAATAAAAGCTAAGCCCGCTAAGCCGACTGATGTCTTTCGGGGCTGCCCAAAAATTGCAAAACGTTGTAACTTTGCGCTGGAAACTCAGATCGTCGATCTGGAACCTGTTCTGACATGCTAAAGAGCTGCCCAATCTACCCTGAAAATTTGAAAACTTGAAACTTAATTCTAAGGGTATCGACTTTTCCCGGGTGGTCGAATCGGACCTCGGGCTTGGCCACCCGGAATTGCCAAAATCGCGCGGAAGCGCGCTGGAGCTCCAATTTTTTGCATCTAGGCTACTAGAAGGCTCAAAAAGCACCCCTAGTAATTTGAAGGCGCTACGACAGCGGGAACTGGTCGAACCGTCATTGGGGTGTTTTTGGTAGTTTTTGAGTTGGGGCCCCTTAGGCTTAGCTTAGGCTTCGGCCGCTCCGTGATGCGACTGTGACGATTGATAGCTCGTTTGAAAGCCCTTGACGAGCCGGATCGAATGGTGCTACTTATAAGCCGATTTAATAAAAGCTAAGCCCGCTAAGCCGGCTTATGTCTTTCGGGGCTGCCCAAAAATTGCAAAACGCTGTAACTTTGCGCTGGAAACTCAGATCGTCGATCTGGAACCTGTTCTGACATGCTAAAGAGCTGCCCAATCTACCCTGAAAATTTGAAAACTTGAAACTTAATTCTAAGGGTATCGACTTTTCCCGGGTGGTCGAATCGGACCTCGGGCTTGGCCACCCGGAATTGCCAAAATCGCGCGGAAGCGCGCTGGAGCTCCAATTTTTGCATCTAGGCTACTAGAAGGCTCAAAAAGCACCCCTAGTAATTTGAAGGCGCTACGACAGCGGGAACTGGTCGAACCGTCATTGGGGTGTTTTTGGTAGTTTTTGAGTTGGGGCCCCCTTAGGCTTAGCTTAGGCTTCGGCCGCTCCGTGATGCGACTGTGACGATTGATAGCTCGTTTGAAAGCCCTTGACGAGCCGGATCGAATGGTGCTACTTATAAGCCGATTTAATAAAAGCTAAGCCCGCTAAGCCGACTGATGTCTTTCGGGGCTGCCCAAAAATTGCAAAACGTTGTAACTTTGCGCTGGAAACTCAGATCGTCGATCTGGAACCTGTTCTGACATGCTAAAGAGCTGCCCAATCTACCCTGAAAATTTGAAAACTTGAAACTTAATTCTAAGGGTATCGACTTTTCCCGGGTGGTCGAATCGGACCTCGGGCTTGGCCACCCGGAATTGCCAAAATCGCGCGGAAGCGCGCTGGAGCTCCAATTTTTTGCATCTAGGCTACTAGAAGGCTCAAAAAGCACCCCTAGTAATTTGAAGGCGCTACGACAGCGGGAACTGGTCGAACCGTCATTGGGGTGTTTTTGGTAGTTTTTGAGTTGGGGCCCCCCTTAGGCTTAGCTTAGGCTTCGGCCGCTCCGTGATGCGACTGTGACGATTGATGGCTCGTTTGAAAGCCCTTGATGAGCCGGATCGAATGGTGCTACTTATAAGCCGATTTAATAAAAGCTAAGCCCGCTAAGCCGGCTTATGTCTTTCGGGGCTGCCCAAAAATTGCAAAACGCTGTAACTTTGCGCTGGAAACTCAGATCGTCGATCTGGAACCTGTTCTGACATGCTAAAGAGCTGCCCAATCTACCCTGAAAATTTGAAAACCTGAAACTTAATTCTAAGGGTATCGACTTTTCCCGGGTGGTCGAATCGGACCTCGGGCTTGGCCACCCGGAATTGCCAAAATCGCGCGGAAGCGCGCTGGAGCTCCAATTTTTTGCATCTAGGCTACTAGAAGGCTCAAAAAAGCACCCCTAGTAATTTGAAGGCGCTACGACAGCGGGAACTGGTCGAACCGTCATTGGGGTGTTTTTGGTAGTTTTTGAGTTGGGGCCCCCTTAGGCTTAGCTTAGGCTTCGGCCGCTCCGTGATGCGACTGTGACGATTGATAGCTCGTTTGAAAGCCCTTGATGAGCCGGATCGAATGGTGCTACTTATAAGCCGATTTAATAAAAGCTAAGCCCGCTAAGCCGGCTTATGTCTTTCGGGGCTGCCCAAAAATTGCAAAACGCTGTAACTTTGCGCTGGAAACTCAGATCGTCGATCTGGAACCTGTTCTGACATGCTAAAGAGCTGCCCAATCTACCATGAAAATTTGAAAACTTGAAACTTAATTCTAAGGGTATCGACTTTTCCCGGGTGGTCGAATCGGACCTCGGGCTTGGCCACCCGGAATTGCCAAAATCGCGCGGAATCGCGCTGGAGCTCAATTTTTTGCATCTAGGCTACTAGAAGGCTCAAAAAGCACCCCTAGTAATTTGAAGGCGCTACGACAGCGGGAACTGGTCGAACCGTCATTGGGGTGTTTTTGGTAGTTTTTGAGTTGGGGCCCCCTTAGGCTTAGCTTAGGCTTCGGCCGCTCCGTGATGCGACTGTGACGATTGATAGCTCGTTTGAAAGCCCTTGACGAGCCGGATCGAATGGTGCTACTTATAAGCCGATTTAATAAAAAGCTAAGCCCGCTAAGCCGACTGATGTCTTTCGGGGCTGCCCAAAAATTGCAAAACGTTGTAACTTTGCGCTGGAAACTCAGATCGTCGATCTGGAACCTGTTCTGACATGCTAAAGAGCTGCCCAATCTACCCTGAAAATTTGAAAACTTGAAACTTAATTCTAAGGGTATCGACTTTTCCCGGGTGGTCGAATCGGACCTCGGGCTTGGCCACCCGGAATTGCCAAAATCGCGCGGAAGCGCGCTGGAGCTCCAATTTTTGCATCTAGGCTACTAGAAGGCTCAAAAAGCACCCCTAGTAATTTGAAGGCGCTACGACAGCGGGAACTGGTCGAACCGTCATTGGGGTGTTTTTTGGTAGTTTTTGAGTTGGGGCCCCCTTAGGCTTAGCTTAGGCTTCGGCCGCTCCGTGATGCGACTGTGACGATTGATAGCTCGTTTGAAAGCCCTTGATGAGCCGGATCGAATGGTGCTACTTATAAGCCGATTTAATAAAAGCTAAGCCCGCTAAGCCGACTGATGTCTTTCGGGGCTGCCCAAAAATTGCAAAACGTTGTAACTTTGCGCTGGAAACTCAGATCGTCGATCTGGAACCTGTTCTGACATGCTAAAGAGCTGCCCAATCTACCCTGAAAATTTGAAAACTTGAAACTTAATTCTAAGGGTATCGACTTTTCCCGGGTGGTCGAATCGGACCTCGGGCTTGGCCACCCGGAATTGCCAAAATCGCGCGGAATCGCGCTGGAGCTCCAATTTTTTGCATCTAGGCTACTAGAAGGCTCAAAAAGCACCCCTAGTAATTTGAAGGCGCTACGACAGCGGGAACTGGTCGAACCGTCATTGGGGTGTTTTTGGTAGTTTTTGAGTTGGGGCCCCCTTAGGCTTAGCTTAGGCTTCGGCCGCTCCGTGATGCGACTGTGACGATTGATAGCTCGTTTGAAAGCCCTTGACGAGCCGGATCGAATGGTGCTACTTATAAGCCGATTTAATAAAAGCCAAGCCCGCTAAGCCGGCTTATGTCTTTCGGGGCTGCCCAAAAATTGCAAAACGCTGTAACTTTGCGCTGGAAACTCAGATCGTCGATCTGGAACCTGTTCTGACATGCTAAAGAGCTGCCCAATCTACCATGAAATTTTTAAAACTTGAAACTTAAATCTAAGGGTATCGACTTTTCCCGGGTGGTAGAATCGGACCTCGGGTTAGCCACCCGGAATTGCCAAGATCGCGCGGAAGCGAGCTGGAGCTCGAATCTTTTGCTTGTGGGCTATGAGAATTCTCATCGGAAATCGAAAAGTCGCATTCCAGCTATAATCCCGACAAGAAACCCGCATCTTAAACATCGGTAAAAACACCGGAAAGAACACATTTTGGTTGTCGGGGTTGTGGCTGTCGGGATTTTGAATGTCGGAATTTTGGCGTTTCGCCCTTACCTCCCCAAAATATTTCCGATTTTTTCTTTTTAAAGACTGGCTCCTTACCGCGTATGGCTGGCTAACGATGCTCGCCCTCTGCTCATCACTCGACTTGCGCCCTTCTTCCGGGTGCAGGTTTGGGGCGGCTGCGATCTAAGCGCTTCGCTCCAAACGCAAAACGGACCACCGACCTCTCCATTGGATTCCCGGGCGTGTCTTTCGATCTGCGAACGAAGACGATTCATCGATCTCATCGAAAGTAGTACATCGACTACCGAGATACGACTTTCGAATTACCTCTGTTTTCTGCTGCCTCAACCGCTCAATCTCATTCTCAGCGCTCCAGGGTCTTCTCATCATCAGCAAAAGCGGTAGGTGCTGCAGTTATGCATGCTTTTGAGGGATCAGGAAGGACCAGGAAAAATTGGCATAAAACGGGGTTAAGTTAAAAAATTAGCTCAACTCCTCTCTGCGCCCTCCTGCCTCGCCACGCTTACTACCCATTTTTTGCATTGCGTTTGGCTCGTTGCCAATTATATATGAGCCTTATCTACTAGGTGTTCATGATCCCTTTAAAGCATCTTTTCCACTTACGTTGATGAACAACTGACGCACCCATGGGCCCATCGTATGTGTGGCTGGGCCCCGGAAATAGACGTTGATGATGACGACCGTCACCTAGATCGGGTCTCCATTTTCGAGTGGCTTTTACCATAATGGCGATGACGTTCATCGTGAAGGTGATCAGCAAAAATTTTCCCATTAGTGGCACTGACGACGAGGTTGGCGGAAGAATCTGAAGGATGAGATCTCTCTAGCTCTCTCTCGCTGTCTCTCTCTCTCTCCTTCCCCTTCTTTCGCTGATCACCTTCGAAATAAGCAACAGAAACACGACAAGGGCCAGTAAGATGCTGATCGCCAGCGTGATCTTCTCGCTCGCCTCGGCGGGAAGGTAGAATACCTGAAATTCTCTTGATCATTAAGCCTTGTACATATATCACCCTACCATCATTGACAAAAAGGCCATGAGCACGGTGGGCATGATGAGGATTACCGTGTAGAAAAGCGTTTTTCTGGAATAGAGTTGCAATGCGCTGACCCTCGCACCTTCGGATTTTTATCTGGTAAGAGATCCGGCTTCGTCCGTTTTGCAGTATCCCAGGCACGTCGATCAGGTCCCAGATGCCGGAGGTCGAATACTCATTCAGTTCAACCTAACGGTATTGGAAAGGGTTGGCGGTTAGGTCTAGGCTAAACCTAGGCTTAGTTTTAGGCTTGGGCACAGGCTTAGGCTTGGCTTAGGCTTAGGCTTCGGCTAGGGTTGAACACAACGCATACTTGTTGCTTTCCCTGCAAATAGTTCAGCTGCACCTCGTCCTTGCCGAAGGTCCAAGAGCCAAACAGCATCGTGCAGACCTGCTCTAGACGTCCGGGATTGCTTGCAAAGCTAACGATGACAACTAACCGTCAAAAGGAAAGTACTCGACGTCGATCGTGCAGCTACTGAAAAAGACGGCCGGCGGCACCCAGAGCATCTCCTGAAAATAAGTGTTCAAGTAGTTCAAAAAGGCCAAGCCTAAGCCTAAGCCCTCCAGATCAAGGCTAAACTGATAACCGAACTATTACAAAAACGCACCCCGGTGTGCTCGACGACGACATTTGATAAGAAGGAGACGAGGTAATTACCGTCCGCGCTAAAACGTGGCTGTTTTTCAGCAATGAAGTCCGAACTTGTTGAAGAGGACGATATCGGGAAGCCAGACCTTCTGCGGTGGGACGTGAATCGTGCTGACGCCACCGTAATCCCGCGGATCCCATCTTAGCTGATAGTCGGACCATCGCTGAAAAGCAGGGAAACCTAACCGCCGACAGTCTACAACGTGTTCACAAACGTGGATGGTAAGTCCCTCAGGCTAAGCCTAAGCCTAAGCCTAACCTGCCCCAAAAGCCCTACCATTGTTGGCCACACATTGGTCTGCATCACTTGGTTCTTCTCGTCCACGTTGATCAGCAACACGAGCGCAAGAGAGAAGCGCACCTATGAAAATTCTGGTCCCCTTTAGGTGGCCTCTCACCTCAACGATTTCGCTCTGGTTCCGAACCGGGCGCACCAGTTGATTGTAGCCGTTGAACAGTCTCTCCAGCAAACGCTCTTCGTCTGCCGACGCTTCGATGAGCGCCAAGAGCAGGATCTTTGTAAAAATGTCTAAATTGGGTAAAATTTGGCATTACGTCAATACAAAGATAATTTTTTTTTGAGGGGATTCGGGAATGTTTGCGTTGTGTTCGATATTCTGTGTTGAGGAACCGTGAAAACCTTTATCTCGCAATTGAAACGACAAAGATCGAAAACGGGGACCCGGAAGTGGAATATGCACGCGTTTTCGGCCTACGATCCAAAGTTGTATTTTGCCGTCAGCTCTTTGATGATCTGAAACGGTATAGTAAGACGGGCTTTGGCTTAGGAAGAGCGAGAGAGAGAGCAAGAGAGAGAGAGAGAGAGAGAGAGAGAGAGAGAGAAAGCGCGAGAGAGCGTTAGAATATTGATTAAAATTTGCACCAGTTCAATTTTTTCAGACCTGATCCTGATCGATGAATTCGAAGACGTGGGGAGCGCGGAGGATGATTTGTATCGTACCACCGAGCGTCACGCCAAAAAATATCAGCAGCAGCAGCCGGTCGATGACCATGGCCACGTACTTCCAATCATCACGAATCTGAAGGGAAACGGTCAGACTAAAGCTAGCACCAGAGAGGCAGAGAGAGAAAGAGGATAGAGATAGTTAGATAGAGAGAGAGAGAGAGAGAGAGAGAGAGAGAGAGAGAGAGAGAGAGAGAGAGAGAGAGAAAGGCAGAGGAGAGAGAGGGAGAGAGAGAAAGAGAGTGATAGAGAGAGGAGAGGAGAGAGAGAGAGAGAGAGTGATAGTGAGAGGAGAGTGAGAGAGAGAAAGCCCTGACCTTTTTATCCGCCATCTCCGCCTTCATATGTTCCGCGATATAAGCTATCGACTCAACGGTGCGCTTCATCTCGCGGCTCATCTTCTCCACCAGCGTTTCTTCCTTCAGCTAGGGTTAACAGCACTTAAACATGAAACCATTAAACCTCGGGCATCTCAAGCCCATTCGACTCCTCCTTTTTCAGTTTCTTACTGCCCGGCTTGTGCTCCTTGTGGTGCTTGCCCTTCGAGCAGTTCCGGTGGTGTTTCATCGCCTCTTCGTTGAGGCTTGGATCTACACCGGGAGTCGAATTTTTACGAATTTTATCTCACTTGACACATTGAGGAATGGTACGATCGTCGCGGTCACGGACGGTATGATGAGGCCTGTAACACGTGGATTAGGCCTGGAGACTCGTTAAAGGGATTCGGAAGGTAGGCAAGATATCGCGGAATTTTTGGGATTCTGAAGATACAATCTTGATGATTTCTTAAATTTGGGTTTCTTTCACAATGTCCACAATTATAATATCGAAAGTTCACAAGGCCGAAATTTCATAGTGTCCAAACTTACATAAGAATTTTCCCGGAAACGCCCCAAATCCTAGGCAAAAAGATGTCGACATTCTGAATTTCGACATTACAAAAATTTGACGTTCTGAATCACGGCGTTATGAAATTTGGACATTCTGAATTTTCCCATCATGAAATTTGTACATTACGAAATTTCAATATGATGATAGCAAATCCTTAAATTTACATCATCAAAAAAGTGACACCTCCCTTCCGAATCCCTCTAGAAACAGAATTGTTGCACATTGAAACGTTTTAAAAATAGCAGGGGATAGTGGAAAAATCTTGGAATCAGACCGCTTTAGCGTTCCCAGATTCTAAGCTACGCGACAATACAGTTGACAGCACATGTTCAATGACGTGGAAATCGAAAAGACAGCGGGGAAAATTGCTGAAGAAAGTGGCGTCGCTTACGGTTTCTACAATATTTCAGGCACTTCACTGCAAACCGAATTTAGAAAAAAGGTTCGGTTGGCGAACGACGTGAATGGCTGCGGGCGCACTCTTATTTGGGTGCCTGGCAACCGCAACGCGCACGCAACGCGTTCACGAGGTTCCGCTGCCCAACCCCTTACCGGACAAGCAACCTACTTGCGTCGAAAATTTCAGAAGCAGAATACTCCTCGACAAAGTAGCCGTTGAAGATCGGGATCCGCTCTGGGCGCTTCATCATCAGGAAGCGGGGCAGGAAGTCAAGGAATACTGTAATTCCGAGTTGATGGGTTAGATTGTCGCAATTTGAGGCATGAGTCGCGCAAAGGCGGGACTTCAAATCGTAAGCACTGACCCGCTCGAACCCACGGTGACATTTCATGGGAAAGCGGGGACCGGAAGTAGATGTTCACAATAATGACCGTCACCTGAATCACATTGAAACAGTTTATCCTTGTCCTAAGCCTGAGCCGAAGCCTAAGCCTATGCCCTAAGCCCTAAGCCTAAGCCTCAGCCTAAGCCTCAGCCTAAGCCTCAGTCTAAGCCTAAGCTTAAGCCTAAGTCTAAGCCTAAGTCTAAACCTAAGCCCAAGCCTAAGCCTAAACCTAAGCCAAAACCTAAGCTTAAGCCCAAGCCGGTTAAGCCCAAGCCTCTTTTGCCGCTCAACAAAAAAAACCCACAACAACCGTCGTGATGTTCAAGATGAACGCCATCAACAAATATTTGCCCATCAGAGGAATGTTTGAAGTCGGCGGCAATATTTTTGACACCAGCAGCAAGAACACAACCAAGGCGAGCAGAATATTGATGGTGAGCGAGATCTTCTCTGCCGAGTCGGTGGGCAGGTAGAATGCCTGGAAAGATATGGAAATGTTTCCAAATCGTGGCAAATTACCATCATCGAGAGGAAGGCCATAAGGACGGTGGGGATGATGAGAATGACCGTGTAGAACAGCGTTTTCCTGAACCACGAAGAGCTTTCATGAAAAGTCGTCTAGCGCTGTCTCACTCTCTCTCTCTCTCTTTCTTTCTCTCTCCCTCTAACTCTCTCTCTCGCTCGCTCGCTCGCTCTCTCTTCCTCTCGCGCGCTATCTCTTTTTCTCTCTCTCTCGATGCTACACAAAACGAGTTACAAAAGTCAAACCTCCTTATAATAATATTGAAAACGATCCGACTCGTGCTCCCGGAATTGACTATCGCTCCTGGTACATCGATGACATCCCAGATTCCGGACTTCGAGTAGTCGTTGAGCTGCACTGCCTGAAAGGCCTGCTCTCAATCGCTCTTTCGTTCGCTATGTCTCTCTATCTCATTCTCTCTTTCTCTCTCTCTCTCATTCTCTCACTCACATACCGTAACATTATTGTAGAACCTCAGCTGCACCTCATGCTTGTTATACGTCCACGAGCCAAAGACCATGTCGCATTTTTGCTCGTCGAACGGGAACCACTCGACGTCGATCGCTGAAGATGGTCAGAATATAACTAGATATCGTCGTGCAATTTGGCCTGCGGTAACGTCAAACGCAAAAACTTGCCACAACTGGAGAGATATCGAGCTGGTGGCACCCAGGTAACGTCGCCGGTGTGCTCGATGAAGACGTTCGACTTGAAGGAGACCTCGTAGGTGCCGTCGGCGCTGTGAATTAAAAATTCAACGGAACACAAGTTAAGTTAACAGGCGGTGCCGATATTTCGCACTATACAGGGGGTCCCAGAAAGACCCCCTCTAGGGCCGCGCAGTCGCGTCCGATTGTCAGGTTTTGGGATCTATCGAAAGCTCTCGAAAAAGCCAAAAACAAAAAGGGTGGCCAGCGCCGCCGCATCAATATCAATATCATTTTAAAAAATATTCAATAGAAATCCATCCCTTTATTACGTTTTTCCGTTGTGTACAAGGGCCACGGCTGGCGTGTGATTTGTGTTCCCTCGTACCGCATTGCGACTACGAGCGACCTTCCAAACTTTGCTTCACAAAAATCGATAATTTCAGAGAAATTGGTAGGCTGAAAAGGGATTTTGCGGCCATTTTTACATTTGCTCAATTCAATCGATCTAACAGCCCTCCGCTTCAAGTTTTTGGCTTTAAATTTCTAGGAGGGATAGCTGATGACGTTCCGGATCCGTGATGAAATTTTCAGAAAAATCGAACGAAATACAACCATTTTAGGGGCCTTTTCCAGAATGCCTCCCCCGAGTCCCCGAAACGCCCCCGACCTGGCCCACCCCGTGGGAGGGGGTATTTAAGAAAGATTGGCCACACCCTCGCCCGCGCATGTGTCCTCCCCGAGTCACCGACAAGCCTGAGAGCGGTTGATGAGGGGTACGGCATCCCGGAATCAGGAGACTATTCCAGGTCCTTTCTTCTACCCAAAGGAAGGGATGCGCCGCTCATCTATGTCCCACAACAGCAGCTGGCTTGTCCCGACCACCTATGCGTAGGGGTGCGTATATATCGGTCGGGCGGGCGTAAGCTGTGTAAGGCGCTCCGGTACGGCGGTTCTCACTGTCGGGAACTCTTCTGTCCGATTCTCAGACCACCCACCCTTGAGGTGACGTGCGAGGGATAGGGCAGGCCGGTGATGCAAGGTAAGCTGTACCAGTCGTCTCCTGTGGCCACGGGAACTTCACGAGTCAGCAAGGCGGGCGTGAATAGAGTTTTGCTTTTTCTAGACCAGTTTTTTGTGCTGGATCCGAATTTTGGGTCCGTTTTGCGTGGGTAGCTATCGTTTTTGCGATACCGGCCCCCAACCGCCCAACATAGCTGTGAAGTATACCCAGGCCCGTACGGGAGCTGAGATTTCGGGGAGTTTGGCACCCACCGAAAAAATTTTGGCGGCCCGGTACCCCCCCCCCGTACGGGCCGGGTCGTGGGCATCGCTATATCTTTTCAGCGCCCCCTTTCCGCCGAAGGGAATCCTATTGTTCGATGCGTCTGAGGGGAAGTGTGGGATGAGGGAATGCAAGGGGGGAGATGGCATCTCTGTTTTTGGCGGGCAAAGCCACACACCGAAAAGTGGATTTGGGCACCTCTGCCGGGCCACAAATGGACACCCGCCCGCAGCTGGGCAGCTTCTCTTGGAAAACAAATAGGAGGTGCCAGAAAACGATTTTTACGACAAAAAAACTAGTAAAGCCGATTTTGTCGACAAAATCCGAATTTGATATCATCATGTCGGAAATCATGATGTCGAAATTGAAAACGCCGAAATTTCCTATTTGCGAAATTGTTGCAAATCAGAATTTTTCACGTTTTTTTGCATAGGATCTGGTGGTTTTCCGAAAAAATTAGCTTATTTAAATTTCGACATTATGAAATTTCGTCATGATGAATTTCGACATTCTTTTTTGGAAAATTTAGTTGTTTTTAGTTTTTCGAAAAATTCGCCACTAAATTGTGCTCCACTCAACACAAACCTCGATATATCCCTCCCGGGACGCGTCCTATCCTGAGAAACTTTGACAGCTTCTACGACTCGATGGCCCTAGGGACTCCGGAGAGAGAGAGAGAGAGAGAGTGGGTACACATTTTATTGGATTCTAGGGTTGACGTATCGGGTGAGACTCGTTCACTCCTGTGGTAGAATTTAAAGGGATCTAGCAGGCCCAGAAAAGGTTAGCTTAAACGGGCTTAGTTCTAAAACTAGCATAAAGTTTCTCTGCTCCGCCCTGCCTCGCCCTACTCTCTGCTCATTTTTACAACTAGCATCTTCGGTTGGCTCGTTCCGAATGAGCACTGCTCTAATAGGCCTTCCTGATCCGTTTAAGGGATGAAGAAACGGTATTCCAGGTTTTATACCTAGGCATGGCCTTCCAGCATCGGCTTCGGTCTGGGCCTGGCTGGGACTTTTGAAGGTTCGCAGGACAAGGTTAGCTTAGGTTTAGGCTTACAAGGCGACGTTTTGCGAGTCCATGGATTTTCGTAATGGGAACAAACCTATTTTGTGTAGGATTTTTTGCTGATTAAAGCCTCATTTTCAGAATCTGCAAAACGACCAAAACAGAAGGCTATGCGCGCTAAAGGGTGCAAAACGGCCTTTTAAGCGTCGTGACTTTTTTCTTGTAGCCGTTTCGCAGATTTTGACACGTAATCTGCACCAAATTTTGCATGAAATTTGCATTTTCTACACAAACCTACTTGTTAAACAGCACAATGTCCGGCAGCCAGACGCGTTCGGAGGGCACGTGCAACTCGGACAAATTCCCGAAGTCACCCGGATTCCAGCGCAACTGAACTCACGCGTCACCTCGATGCGGTTTGATTAGGCTACCTGGAAGTCGTTCCACTTCATCGTCAGCCAAACATTGGTCTGAAGGATTTGATTCCGCTCGTCGACGTTGATCAACAAAATCATCGCCACACCAAAATCCACCAGAATTGGAGGCGAGAGGGCCGACGGGACGGGCCGGATCAGGTTGTTGTAGCTAAAAGGGAAAATAGCTTTTGTAGCTGTAGCTATTTGTGCTGGCCATTCCCAGAAGAATTTCTGCTAAGTGAAGCTTAAGCCTAATCCTAAGCCTGACCTAAACCTAGGCTTAAGCCTAAGCCTAAGACTAACAAGGAGTGCTTTTTTTGAATCATCGGCAAAACCTTACGAGACCTAGCTCATTCGATAGAGAATTCGATTCTGAACAAAACTCCGTGGTTCTTTTTTGCAGAATGGCTATACCTGATTTTATAAAATTAAAATACTAGTGACCGTCTCTTAACATGAGTGTCTTTCGAGCCAAAAGAGCGGCTTTTGGGTGCAGTTTTTGGGGGGGGGGGGGCAGCCCCCCCCCCCTTCCCCCCCCCTCAACCCCCCCCTCCCTCGCGGAAACTAATAAAAAATACAATCCAACCAAAAAAAAATTTTATAAAATCAGGGATAGTCATTCTGCAAAAAAGAACCACGGGGTTTTGTTCAAAATCGAATTCTCTATCGAATGAGCTAGGTCTCGTAAGGTTTTGACGATGACTCAAAAAAAGCACTCCTTGTAAGCCTAATCCTCAGCCTAACCCTGACCTAAGCCTAAGCTTAAGCAATGGCGCTACTTTAACCTTTCCTACAACCTTTAAAAAGTAATGCAAATCCTACCCCTGAAACAAATGCTCCAACAATCTCTGCTCGTCCTCCTCTTCATGGGGGTCGAATTTTTCTGAAACGAGTGGTGTTACCCTTTTTTAATAATTTTTTTGGGGAAGCGCCAAAGCAAACACCTGGGCTTTAAACGGAGGCCCTTTTTCGAGGAGGAACTAAAATTGCCTCGGTGTTCTGGACGGCTAGACGTTTCCGGTCGAGTCAAAGGGAATTTTTCGGAAAAAGTTTGGAGAGGGGAGCGCTTGTTGCCCAAAGGAACAACCGGGAGGTCATATTCGGCTTAATTTACGCGCCGCGGAGACGGGCTGTTTATGCGGAAAACGAGGAAACAATTCTAGCGTTTTTGAGGCTTGCAGGGTGTAGTCGGAACCTTGGGATGGGACCCAGCCTACCTTGCGCAGAATTTTGCGCTGATTCCAAATATGGACACCGTTTTTACGGAGTGGCCAGTTCTGGGAAGTTATAGACGATTTAAATCTGAAAAACTATCGAAAGAAGCCGATTTGTGATGCTTTTGATTGGTTTAAATCGTCTACTTTCGAGAATCGGCCATCTTCGGATCCAGCGCTGAATCAATCAGGCTGGGTCCCATCCTAAAGTTTCGGCTACACTCAAAAACGTTTCCTTGTCAGCAAATAAAAGCTTAGGAATAGTCATAATCTGACAACTAAACAAAATCCGGACAGGCAAAACGTGATATACCGTTCGTTTTACCTATAAATGGTTTAAAATTTGGGGATTCGAGCCGTTAGGGATTTTGGCCGTCGAGGTTTTTGAATGTCGGGATTTTGGCGTTTCCCCCGGGTTGACATACCTCCTGATGCTGTCGCATTCTGGTATCCCCAGTGTCGCAGCTCGCCGGAGGTCACGTCCTCTTGTGTGCGACTTACGGTAACAAAAAGATACAAAAGTAACGGGGAGCAGTAGAGCATGAGGCTGGTGCTCCTTGGATGTGCGCTTTGTCGTCGAAGATCCGGCTTGCGATTATGAATTCTTCGCGACGCCGCTCAGCGCAGATTTTAATTGTGTTCAATAGCACGACAGAGTCGCTCTCATCGAATTGTAGCCGGGGTCGAGCTTTGCAAATCCGAAGAATGGAACGAATCTGCTTAGCAATTCTCACTTGGCTGCCGGGTGCCCCCGGCTTTCTGGCTCCTCCTCCTCATCCTCCTTCTACTGCTTCACGGCATCTATCGGAGGGCGTGCCCCCAGGACATTTTCTGGGTCCCTTCATACTTCTCGCGCCCTCGGGGCCCAGGTCCCCCGGGGGCCCATTGAAGAACGGGCGGACAGACAAACGGATGGCACGAACACCGTTTGACGGCTTCTGCTCGGCTCTACCCAGATAGCACAGCCAACAAAAATGAGGGATATGACAGGGAAAAAATAGAATTTGGGGCAAAAATGAGCAACGATCCGAAGCCACGCGTCAGCGAGGCGTAATAAGCAGCGTATGACCAAGCCATGACTTAAGCTAACAGGCTTAGCCAACCAACCTAAGCCTAAGCCTAAGCCTAAGCCTAAGCCTAAGCCTAAGCCTGCGCTTAAGCCCAAGCCTAAACCTAAGCACAAGCCAAAGCCTAAGCCGGAGCCTAAGCCTAAGCCTGCGCTTAAGCCCAAGCCTAAGCCTAAGCCTTAGCCTAAGGATAAGCCTAAGCAAAGCCTAGGCTTAGTCTTAGCCTAAGCAACGCCGATGATTCATGTTTGTCTGAAACCTAGCCAACTTTGTAGGCAATGTTTAAAGGGATCAGGAAGGCCCAGGCGTATTAGCATAAAGCGGATTTTTATTCTAGAATTGGCAATTATAATATTAACAATTGGCAGATATTCAACCTCTCAGAAACGGGTAAAAGAGTGCGCAAATCGGAAATCGAGCGGGGCCTTGTCCCGCCGATGTATGCAAATTTAAGCAAACTCTAAGGGCCGTCCTGATCCCTTCAAATTGCAAATACAAATAGAGTTAAGAACTTACGCAGCAGCATAGTATATCAGGAGCAAGGTTGGCTGAATGCCTCACGATCAAGGGCAAGGGAACCGAGAAATAATTGGAGTTGAAGTGGATATTCCTGCTTCCGGCCATCATCCGTCAAGGGGTTTTAAAGGGGCGTTTACGGCAGAAGAGGCTGGTTAAGTTCGACCCAGCATGACGTTTAGATCGCGTTCAGAACAGCCTTTTCCAGACATGGCAATTCCGATCGGCCGAGCCGCGCGGCCCGGCCGGCGGCCTAATTTCCATAAAAAACGCGGCCCCCTACGAGCCGCCGTAATTAGTTACTTCCGGAAACGCGGCTTCGCGGCCGAGCCGCATTTTCATTGCGGCTCGGCCGAGCCGCTGCGGCCAAGCCGCAAACCGGAAGTGGCTCATTTACATACCAAAAATCCGTGAATTTCATGCGAAATAGGAATGGTAAGGAGAAAATTAAGGTAGTCGAATAAATATTTTCCTCGTTGGCAAGCTAAATACCCATTACATCTCTGATTTGCGTACCGGAAGTACTCAAAACTCATTTGGATGCGGCTAGGGTTGGGTTTTGGCGCAACCGGTTTCCGATCGATCGCTTTGCATATCCTAAACGATTAAATCGTTGGACGAGAACCGGTTTCCGGCATCGAACCGATTTAAATCGGTTCACGAGGTTCGTAAACCATCAAAAATAAAAGTTTCAAAAAAATCCTAGCAATTAAACCAGGGCCTCCGGGGCTCCGGAAAAAACTGTTTTCGGTACTATTTTTGGTGCTCTTTCAGGTGCACACATTAAAGCGATTTCGCACGGTCGATTTCTTGCGGAATCGGGCTTGGAAGGCCTGGTCGACGAGGGCTGCCTAGTTGCAACATTCAAGAAATCCTAGCAATTAAACCAGGGCCTCCGGGGCTTCGGAAGTAACTGTTTTCGGTACTATTTTTGGTGCTCTTTCAGCTCCACATGGAAGTGCGTGATGAATTTCTCGAAATTTTTTTGATAAATTCCGAAAAAATCCATGTGGTCCCCCCTTTAGTCGTAAACCATCAAAACCAAAAGTTTCAAAAAATCGTAGCAATTAAACCAGGGCCTCAGGGGCTTCGGAAGAAACTATTTTCGGTACTATTTTTGGTGCTCTTTCAGCTCCACATCGAAGTGCGTGATGAATTTCTCGAAGTTTTTTTGATAAATTCCGAAAAAATCCATGTGGTCCCCCCTTTAGTCGTAAACCATCAAAACCAAAAGTTTCAAAAAATCGTAGCAATTAAACCAGGGCCTCAGGGGCTTCGGAAGAAACGGTTTTCGGCAGTATTTTTGGTGCTCTTTCAGCTCCACATCGAAGTGCGTGATGAATTTCTCGAATTTTTTTTGGTAAATTCCGAAAAAATCGGAATCGGAATCTTCGGAAGAAAACGCTTTCGGTACTATTTTTGGTGCTCTTTCAGGTGCACACATCAAAGCGATTTCGCACGGTCGATTTCTTGCGGAATCGGGCTTGGAAGGCCTGGTCGACAAGGGCTGCCTAGCTGCAACATTCAAAAAATCCTAGCAATTAAACCAGGGCCTCCGGGGTCTCGGAAGATACCGTTTTCGGTAGCAAAAAATACGCTCACAGATATATCTGGTTGATCTAGGGGGGGGGGGCGGGGGTCGATATGATTGCGAAATTCGTCGTAAAAAAGGTCGCATTCAAGGCCGGGTCTCAGCAGATCGCAGCTCAGGTAGATGCTAGAGCTACTCTACGTACGGGAGGGAAGGTTGAGGGAGGAGCATCAGCAACGACGATACCTCCTGGGGACCACGACCCTATTCTAACTAAGGTAGCCGGCGCCGTTCCGGAAATCTCTCGGTGTAGTGCTTAGGCTAGGGCTGCTATGGACGGCTAACTTCGTAGCCCGATCCAACAAAAATCAACAACCAAGTATCTAGCCGTGCAACGCGCCGAGAAAAAATGCCCCAACAAATCCGGCTGGCCCAAAAAAGCATACCAGTCCGGGGGCTCGTCCTCAGCCTAAGCCTAAGCCTAAGCCTAAGCCTAAGCCTAAGCCTAAGCCTAAGCCTAAGCCTAAGCCTAAGCCTAAGCCTAAGCCTAAGCCTAAGCCTAAGCCTAAGCCTAAGCCTAAGCCTAAGCCTAAGCCTAAGCCTAAGCCTAAGCCTAAGCCTAAGCCTAAGCCTAAGCCTAAGCCTAAGCCTAAGCCTAAGCTGAGGGTCAATCGTTGGCCTACTCAGTGGAAAGCTTTGGGAACCCCCTCCACACTAGTGGGCCAGGTGGGGGGCGGGTGCGAAGCAAGCAGTGAAGCCCGCCCTGCGATTCCGCTACGAAATAGCGTCCGGAATGCGGAAACGCCCGATTTGGCTGAATTGAGGGTTAGGGGTCTTCGAGCTGCTGTTGCGCCAAGGAGCGATGTGACGGCCGAGCCAGTTAGCAACCCGGAATCATCGTTTCAAAGCGCTTCGAATGGTCTGCTTACATTGCTCGGAAGCGCGCGGCCCGTTTTTGAAAAAATCCATGTGGTCCCCCCTTTAGTCGTAAACCGTCAAAACCAAAAGTTTCAAAAAATCGTAGCAATTAAGCCAGGGCCTCAGGGGCTTCGGAAGAAACTATTTTCGGTACTATTTTTGGTGCTCTTTCAGCTCCATATCGAAGTGCGTGATGAATTTCTCGAAATTTTTTTGGTAAATTCCGAAAAAATCCATGTGGTCCCCCTTTAGTCGTAAACCATCAAAACCAAAAGTTTCAAAAAATCGTAGCAATTAAACCAGGGCCTCAGGGGCTTCGGAAGAAACTATTTTCGGTACTATTTTTGGTGCTCTTTCAGCTCCACATCGAAGTGCGTGATGAATTTCTCGAAATTTTTTTGATAAATTCCGAAAAAATCCATGTGGTCCCCCTTTAGTCGTAAACCATCAAAACCAAAAGTTTCAAAAAATCGTAGCAATTAAACCAGGGCCTCAGGGGCTTCGGAAGAAACGGTTTTCGGCAGTATTTTTGGTGCTCTTTCAGCTCCACATCGAAGTGCGTGATGAATTTCTCGAAATTTTTTGGTAAATTCCGAAAAAATCCATGTGGTCCCCCCTTTAGTCGTAAACCATCAAAACCAAAAGTTTCAAAAATCGTAGCAATTAAACCAGGGCCTCAGGGGCTTCGGAAGAAACGGTTTTCGGCAGTATTTTTGGTGCTCTTTCAGCTCCACATCGAAGTGCGTGATGAATTTCTCGAATTTTTTTTGGTAAATTCCGAAAAAATCCATGTGGTCCCCCCTTTAGTCGTAAACCATCAAAACCAAAAGTTTCAAAAAATCGTAGCAATTAAACCAGGGCCTCAGGGGCTTTGGAAGAAACTATTTTCGGTACTATTTTTGGTGCTCTTTCAGCTCCACATCGAAGTGCGTGATGAATTTCTCGAAATTTTTTTGATAAATTCCGAAAAAATCCATGTGGTCCCCCCTTTAGTCGTAAACCATCAAAACCAAAAGTTTCAAAAAATCGTAGCAATTAAACCAGGGCCTCAACGGCTTTGGAAGAAACTATTTTCGGTACTATTTTTGGTGCTCTTTCAGCTCCACATCGAAGTGCGTGATGAATTTCTCGAAATTTTTTTGGTAAATTCCGAAAAAATCCATGTGGTCCCCCCTTTAGTCGTAAACCGTCAAAACCAAAAGTTTCAAAAAATCGTAGCAATTAAACCAGGGCCTCAGGGGCTTTGGAAGAAACTATTTTCGGTACTATTTTTGGTGCTCTTTCAGCTCCACATCGAAGTGCGTGATGAATTTCTCGAAATTTTTTTGATAAATTCCGAAAAAATCCATGTGGTCCCCCCTTTAGTCGTAAACCATCAAAACCAAAAGTTTCAAAAAATCGTAGCAATTAAACCAGGGCCTCAACGGCTTTGGAAGAAACTATTTTCGGTACTATTTTTGGTGCTCTTTCAGCTCCACATCGAAGTGCGTGATGAATTTCTCGAAATTTTT